AAACTCAATTGACAGCAAATATGTCGTAGAAGCCGGCAACGCTTTGCCTGCGTGAAACTTACCATACAGCCACTTGTTGACGTGCATCAATCGGTGGAGGAAGTACTGCCAAGTATCGATGATGGCGGCGCCGATAAAGTATTGGAGGGCGGGAATCATGAAGTTGTAGATGATCTTGGCCAATGTTATCTCCCAAGACGCGAAAGCAGGCTCCGAGTTTGCGTTGACGAGAGAAGGGTAGTAACCACCAGCGATAGCCCCGGCCAGCAGGGGATGGGAATCGAGAAGACCCTTTGAAATGGCGGTGGCATTGAGGCCGACGAGACCGAGGAGAGTTGGAAGAGCTCTTTGAGCGATACGAATGCGGGTAGCCCAAATAGCAACGTCATACTCGCCCTTGCCTACCATCTCGGGGGGTTCCGACAAGGCAAGGAGTGCGCCGGTGACGACCTGGATGATCTGCTGCAGGATAACATCGCGAGCGACTTGATAACGGGAAACGTGATTGCGCTTTGTGATTTCTTCGGGCGTGTGAAGTCGGTATTGAGGGAACAAGTCGAGTACGTCGATGGCGTGGAAGGTGAGAGACAAGGCCCAGTAGACGACGACAGGGAGCAGCAGATTGAGCCAAAAGTCGGAGACCCAGGACAAGAGGTCAGGCTGGACCTCGAGGCTGAAGACAGGCAGCGGCGGTAAAGCTGTGTCGAAGAGCGTGTGGTTGAAAGATGTGCCGGGCGCAATCATTGCGGAACCGTCGGCGAGGATGGAGCTGTCGTTGCCCATGACGGGTTGAATATTAGAGTATGTGCTATACTTTTGATGCGTCGCGAGTATAAATTTAGAAGTAGTCGAATTGGACAAGGAGCGAATGAGTTGGAAGTTGAGCGCAAGCCGCACAACTGTAAATAGCAAGCAAAATAAGAAAACCAATTATTCAACAGTTGAGTCTCTTTTGGACAAATGAGGGTCAGGAGGATACAAGGAATTGGAGGGAAAAGGGAGTGTCAAGCTTTTGGATGGAAGGCAAGATCAAGTTATTAAGACGGGACTAAGCTGGGCTTGGGTTGGTAGGCTGGTAGGGGCCCGAAGATTAGATTAAGGCGCGTTGGTCCAATCGTTCGCGCCGCTGGGGCCTCTAAAGTGGCAACCCACCTCAGGTACAAGCGAAAAATGCTGATATACAGTACGTTTTGCCCGGGAGCTTCGGAGACAATCAACTGTGCGATGGGGAAGGACATGACCCAACGGGACCCTCAAAGAGTCGATAGAGCCGTGCCAAGAGATTACTGTACAGTAATCAATCTCCTTTTGCAGAAGTTTGATGCGCCATTTCAGGCCTCGCTCTCCTGAAGAGCAATTCCCAACGTCGCATCATGGATCATGACATTTTGTATCACTATGGAGTGGCGGCATCGGCATCGGCATCAGCCCACGCGTGTCACTGTGCTGACAGTTTAATTACATTAAATCAATCACATGTGTCAACCTACCTGTAACATGGCACAAAACTACACTGCAAGAAAGTGGGTTCACTAATAACTGTCATTGCTTTCAATGGACTCAGAAAACGTACGAATGTTATGTCTCCCTATTAATTCATGCATGAGCGTAGACCAAGCCTTGCAAAGCCTCTTGTGGCTCATGCCACTGAAACGTCACCAACAGGTCATGCGTCGTTTATTCAAATAGCCCCTAGAACACGCCAGCTGTGGTCGTTTAGATTCCCTTTCCCTGGTTTGAGTGCGAGCGTGAAGCAAGCCCAACTCGCGTATAAATCCGGGGCAAACTTGACCCCTGGCTTACCTTGTCAGGCGTTGGAGATCATAACTTGAACAGGCGTGCAAAAACCACCGCGGCTTCCGGATACTGTGGTCCTATTTGGATAAACAATTCGATCCTGAGATAATATTTATGTGCTCAGACAGGAGTTATGAGGTTACCAAGCACTGATACTGGATATGACTCTACTACGTCTGCCGTGTAATTCTATTGGACCATGTCTGGCATATTATATTGCAATCACATATGTGTAAATCCTGTCCATTATTTTTTAGCTGGAAATCAACTTGGTGATTGGTACGCGGAAAATTGAAACGCAAAAATCATTTTTCATTCATTGAATAGGCTTTACGAAATACCATCGCAAGCATGCCTTCTATCTCGTCCTCATACATAATTTCTAACCCCATTTTAACCTATATTCCTATCCCATCATAAAACCGAATTGACTCCATAAATCGCATATTTTCTTATCCCAATCACGCTCCAATATTCTTTCGCTTGCTAGGCACCGTGGTCTCAGCCTTCCACGAGTCGACGTTGTGAATGAGGCAAGCCTCGCCTTGGTCACGTCGGGTGAGACGACCGATGCGGTACACCTTCTCGCCGCCATCAGTGAGGGTCTGGGCAACGGCATCGGCCTTTGTGGCATCAACGGCGATAACCATACCAACACCAGAGTTGAAGGTGCGACACATCTCGATAGGCTCGACGTTGCCAGCCTCACGGAGCCACTTGAAGACAGGGGGGATCTCCCATGAGCCAAACTCGATCTCGGCGGCAAGAGATTCGGGGATCATGCGGGGTACGTTCTCGACGAGACCGCCACCAGTGATGTGAGCAAGACCCTTGATCTCAGAAAGGATGGGGAGGAGAGCCTTGACGTAGATTCGAGTAGGGGTGAGGAGAGACTCGCCAACTGTGGTGGATTGATCCCAAGGAGCGGCGTCAGTGTAGCTCAGACCAGCGTGAGTGACGATACGGCGAGCAAGAGAGAAACCGTTAGAGTGAACACCGACGGAACCAAGACCAAGGAGAACATCATCCTGGCCCATGTCGTCCTTTCGGGGGAGCTTGGCCTCAGCAGTAACAGTACCAACAGCGCAACCAGCAGCATCATAATCATCCTTCTGATACATGCCTGGCATCTCAGCAGTCTCGCCACCAACAAGAGCACAACCGGCTTGACGGCATCCGTCAGCAACACCCTGAACGAAATCAGCAGCAGTGGAGAGGTCCAGCTTGCTGCAGCCGTAGTAGTCGAGGAACATAACAGGAGTGGCACCCTGAACAACAAGATCGTTGACGTTCATAGCAACCAGATCGATACCAACAGTGTCGTGCTTCTTCATGGCCTGAGCAATCATGAGCTTGGTACCGACACCATCAATGGCACCAACGATGATGGGGGCTTGAGGGTAGCCGGCCTTGGACAGGTCAACCTCACCACCAAAGCCACCAATCTCGGCGTCAGCGCCAGGTCGCTTGGTGCTGGCGACGGCCTTCTTGATCTTCTCGACGAAATCGTTACCGGCCTGAATATCGACACCAGCCTGGGCGTAGGTCATAGAAGCCTGCTCAGTAGAACGGAACGCACGGTGGGCAATGTCCTTTCGGTAGAAAGCACCCTCAAACTCGATAGCCTTGTTGTCGAGGGCAGCGTAGGCGGCATCGACGGCAGCTCGGAGAGAGTCGCCAACAGCGTTGATAGCAATAACACGACCGCCAGAGGTCTTGAGGCCATCGCTGTCAAGTGTGGTACCGGCATGGAAGATGTTGCAACCGGGAGGAGGAGTCTGAACAGTCATGGCCTTGCCCTTAGGATAAGAACCGGGGTAACCACCAGAAGCAAGAACAACAGTAGCGCTGAACTTGTTCTCGATGGTCAGCTTGCAGTTGTCAAGGTATCCATTGGCACAAGCAAGCATGATCTCAGCCAAATCGGTATCAGCAGAGAGAAGAGGAAGGACAGTCTGTGTCTCGGGATCACCGAATCGGACGTTGTACTCGAGGACCTTAGGGCCCTTGCTGGTGATCATAAGACCAGTGAAAAGAACACCGCGGAAAGGTTGCTGCTCTCGTCGCATGCCGGAGATGGTGGGCTCGAGAATCTCGCGGTCAATGAGCTCGGTAAGCTCCTTGGTAGCAATGTTTGTAGGCGCATAGCAGCCCATGCCACCAGTGTTGGGGCCCTGGTCTCCGTCAAAGATGCGCTTGTGGTCCTGAGCGAGAGGCAGGGATCGGATAGCGTAGCCATCGCAGAAGGTGAGAACACTGAGCTCGTCACCAATCAGAAGCTCCTCGATAACAACCTCATCGCCAGCATCGCCAAACTCCTTGTCAACCATAATTTGCTTCAGGGCAGCCTTTGCCTCCTCCTTGGTCTCGGGAAGAATAACACCCTTTCCAGCGGCAAGACCAGTGGCCTTGATGACAACGTCATGATCGACGCTGTCAACGTAGGCACAGGCCTTGGTGTAATCGGAGAAATTCTCGTAAGCGGCAGTTGGAACGTTGTACTTTTTCATGAAATCCTTAGAATAGGTCTTGCTGCCCTCAAGGCGCGCAGCCTCCTTCGAGGGACCGAAGCAGGGGATGCCTGCGTTTCGGAACCATCCCTCAACACCGTCAACGAGAGGGGCCTCGGGACCGGGGACGACCAGGTTAACACCATTTTCTTGGGAGAACTTGATAAGACCAGCGAAATCTTCGGCCTTGACTGAAGTGACGTTGGAGGTCTTGGGGCATCCAGCAGTACCTCCGTTACCCGGGACAGCAAAGATCTGCTCAACTCGAGAAGACTGGCTAAGCTTCCAAGCCAGAGCGTGCTCACGGCCACCGTTGCCGATGAGCAAAATTCGGAGGTCGGCCATAGTTGATCGCGAAAATATGTGACGAGGTAAAAAAACAAATCGTACGAAATGGAAGCGATTCCGAGAATCGGCAAGGTTCAAGAATCTGAATCCACTTGGGAAGCTTGATTGGCTGAGAGCTTACGGTAGGGTAGCGGAAAAAATTTACGGCGTCTAGATGTGCCTTTTTTACTTTGCGTGCCGCTAATCTCTTTGAAGCCCCCACTACCCCGCCACTGGGCCTTTGATTTTTATTATCATCAGGCTCTATTTCTCTCCCTCTGCTGTGCTCCTCTTTGCCAGTCTTTTCTCTTCTCACCATCCTATCCTATCCATCTCCAAAAGGTCCAACAGACTCAAACCGCCATCATGCTTATCTACAAGGTACGATCCCCCAATAAGCCCGTTGCTCTACATTGCTTGCCATCTTCAGTACCCCGCCTTCTGTTGATCTTTCTACCCCGCGCTTGGTTGTGGTATTATTCGCATGATCTTTCACTGACGACTGCAACTACAGGACATCCTCAACGGTGACGAGCTCATCTCCGACTCCTACGACCTCAAGGAGGTCGATGGCATCGTCTACGAGGCCGACTGCGCCATGATCGAGGAGGGTGGTGTCAACGTTGGTACGCAACAGCAAATGTTCAAACAAGCCTCGTTAATTTTGCTGACATTGTCTTCCAGATATCGGTGCCAACGCTTCCGCTGAGGAGGCTGCTGAGGATCTCGACGACACCGTGGTCAAGGTCAACAACATTGTCAGCTCCTTCCGTCTTCAGAGCACCTCCTTCGACAAGAAGAGCTACCTGACCTACCTCAAGGGTATAGAGAGACCTCACAAATGACCAAGGACCGAGTAGTTTGCTAACTTCAATTTAGGTTACATGAAGCGCGTTAAGGCTGCCCTCCAGGAGAAGAATGCTTCCGAAGACGAGGTCAAGGCCTTCGAGACCGGCGCTTCCAAGTTCGTCAAGGACAAGCTTCTCCCCAACTTCAAGGATTTCGAGTTCTACACTGGCGAGTCTATGGACCCCGATGCCATGTACGATTTCCCCGTTTCTCAACTTTGACTTTTCTAGTAATGGATTGCTAACAAATTTGTAGGGTTGTCCTCCTCAACTACCGTGAGGACGGTGTTACCCCTTACATCATCGTCTGGAAGCACGGCGTCACTGAGATGAAGGTCTAAGTTGGCAATAATGCCACGGTGATGTTTTTGGTTCTGCTCCATCCCGTCTGCAATGACAAACAGGCGAGCAGTTGTTTAGATTACGAGCCACACGAATCTCGATTTCGACGCTGGTACATCCCTCGAGATGCAGCGACGAGACGAAATAAAAGAAAGAAAGAAAGAAAGAAAGAAGCTACGAGTTCCAACTATGTTATTTTGTCGCCTTTTTTTTTTTGCAGTGATAAATGTGGTTGCCTTAAGATAATATTGGTAAATCGAACCCCGTTAGCGCCTAGCAATGCCAGTTTCCTTAACTCGTGCCGTGTAAATCAAAACTGGGGCCTTGTTGCCATGGGAATCGGCGGTGGTTCATCGTCAGTAGGAGCCGATGCGCTCACCAGAGCTGGCTTCTTCTTCGGCGGAGGTGGAGGCGGTGGCTTCTTCTTTCCAGCTACACTTGCCATGCCCGTGGATGATACTCCAGAAGTATCGCCCTGATCTTGGGCTTGATCGCCTTGTAATTTGGAGTAAGAACTCTGTGCTTTGTCCAAAAGGCCGTACTTTTGGTTGAAATTATTTGCTGCCTTGGCTCCAGCAGCAACTTGTTCACCATGGCGCTGACGGAAGTTGTTGGCTGTGCTGGCGGCTGCTCGGGCCTCCGAAAAGGAGACTGAAGAAGGATCCTTTTGGAACGACGAGGCAGTCTTGAGGGCGGCTTGTTTCTGCGCCCACGTAGTTCCCTCGCTGGGAGGTGGGGGCGCTGCTGCATTGGCATTAGATGACGATGTACCGAGCTTAGAAAATCGGTTCTGTAGTTCGCTCGTATGTGATGGAGTCTTCGCAGGAGGAGGCGAAGCGACGCCTGGGCGTGGAGGTGGAGGTGGGCTAGGAGATGCAGCAGCCGCAGGGCTGGAGCGACCAATGCCGAAGCCAGGGACATTAATACCTGCTGCACCCAAGCGGCTCACTGCTCCTTGGTTCAGGAGTCCATTTTCTATAGGAGCAGGGCTAGCGGCGGGCGAGCTCCCCACTGTGCTTGCAGAGTTGGTCCTCGGGGGAAGACGAGGTGGTAGGCTAGGAGGTGCTGATCTGCCTCCTCCTACGCCCGTCATGGCTGATTGATAAGATGGAGGCTGCGCTGAACGTCCGTCGGCGCCGTCTCTTCTTCCAGGCGGCTTAGGTAGGTTATCTGTCGATAGGCCGGTGGTGTTTACACGGTAAGGACCGCGAGGCTTTGGCGGCTCGTCTGTTTGTTCCTGAGGATTGGTATATCCATGTTCTTGAGAGACAGGGGCGTAAGGATCCTGATGGTTCGATGGCGAGGCAGTGTCCTTTCTGGGTGCTGCTGGAATGAGGCCAGTACCAGTACGCTTGGGAGGTGGTGCAAAGGTTGAAGGATCCTTCAGCTGTGATATAGGAACAGAGACATGGTTACTTGTGTCGGCATCATCAGACTTTCCTCTTCCAACAAGACCTTTCTGGCGTGATGTTAGCTTCTGATAGTCGGTAAGAAGAGGAGATTGCTTACAACTTGGCCCTTGAAGGTTGTACCTGACTTTTCAGGGTGCCACCCATTTTTCATAATATCCTTGTATTTAGACATGATGAGTTTTCTAGGTAGTGAAGGATACAGGCCTTTTCGTTTCTAGAATCGAAGGAATGAAGTTGGAATAGACAAGTCCGAGGTCAACTTAAGTTGGGCCTAAATCGACTGGGCACGGGAGTGACGCACAGCCAAGCCACTGGAGACAGGATCAAGCCACAATGGCGGGGTTGCTCCTGTCAATGGATTGTCCTGACACCTTGCGAATCAGGCGACGATATGTCTACCATGATACTGCTACACAGTCATCATCTCAGGAACCGTTTTGACTTGGATTTGGGATCCAAGGTCTTGCCGGTAGACGGAAATGGTTTCTTATGCCCTGGATTTTTGTCATAAGCTGTACGACTCGAAATACAATTTTGTAGACTTGCCTACTCACTAAACATATGAATTGACCAATTCCCATTTACGCGACAAGACGCGTCTTCCAACTTCCTCCCACTACAACCTCACTTGATTCTAATACAGCGTCCCACCATGGCATCTCAACAAAACTCAGACTACGAGCTTTTAACAGAGCACTTTGGATACCCCCCAGCCGTATGTGGTTCCACTGAAAGATTCATCATGGCTAGCCACTGATTCTCTTTTAGTCCCTGCTTGACGACATCATCAACACAGTCAACGTCCTCGCCGATCGCGCTCTTGACTCAGTCGAACGTCTCCTACTCTCCATTCCACCACAAGCTCTCGGTTTCTCTAGTAAACACGCGCCTAAAGATGGGTCTCCCGCATTACCGCCCGACGAAGCGGCTAAACTAGAGATCGAACATGGCACACACCAGCTTGAGACGCTACTCAACGCGTCCATTGATAAGAATTTCGATTTATTCGAGCTGTACACAATGCGAAACATCTTGACAGTGAGACCCGATGACCAGCCATACATGCTTTTGGCGCATTACGAGGGTCTGGATTTTGCAGGGCTGGAGGGACAGGATCGCCCAACGGCTGAGTCGGTGACTACACTACGGAGGAGATTACATGCTAGCCAACGACTACAAACTGCGCTAGAAAGTGAACGGACACGTAATGATGCTCTTCTTGAAAAGTTGAGATCTTTGCTGGGCGTTGTGCCGGATGTCAAGGCAGAGGAAGGACAAACTACCCCAGAGACGTCGGCACCAGATGGCTCAGCATTTGGATTTCTGCGCGAAAAGGCAAGTCTTCAAACCGCCGGGACCGACAAGCCCATCGCAACGACTACAGAGTTTACGCTTTCTCAATTACAAGCCCTTCGTGCTCTGTCAACTTCACTACGCACATTGCTTCCTGATCTTGGCCCTGTGGATGAAGATAGCTCGACCGATCATGCTGCTAATGGTTCTCGCACCTGGAGGCGTGAGCGCCTGGAATATGTTGAGGGTGCATCGCGGAAATATCTTGAGACAGCGAGAGGACTGGAGCTTGGAGAGCAAGGCGAGGTGCGCGATGGCGAATGGCAAGGCGAAGGACGCAAAATAACGAGGGGCGATGTCGAGGGTTTGGAACAGATTGCTTTGATGCTGGGGCAAAAGTCGACGACAGAAGAGGCTTCTGATGACGGAGAGCCAATGGATGAATCATAAGTTGACTTATATGAATTCGTTACAAGGGACAAAGGTGATATCTTGGAAAGGCGCCCAGGCGTAACATGGTAATGGATGCATCACGAATGAATAATACTGCATCTTTTGAATATACAAATACGTGCTTGAGGTATGGTAAATACATGATCTATTCAGCGAGGAATTAAACCTCTGATACAGTCTAGTAAAATCTGATACTGGTACATTTTGGTTTGTTCATCTACCTATAAGAATACTGCTTCAGCTTCGCACCATCCACCAAACCATTGTACTGAGCTATGTACCAAAAGTGATGCTTCCAGTACCTTTGTCTCGCAGCCTTGTCATCTTTGTTATTAAGCTTGTGATTGACTACGACATCCACAACTCTCTGAGCAGTCTCTCTGTCTCCATGCTGGATGAGCGCCTGGATCAGCTCGGTAAGAGAAGGCAGTGACGTGACGGGGCGACCGGAGGCAGCGAGATCGTCAAAGATAGCCATTGCTTCCTTGACATTGCCGCTGATGGCATGAGCAGCCGTAACGCGCTCCCATAGTGTTTGGTCACCGCTGGAGACTGTCGTGAGGTTGTTCTCCTTAAGTAGAGAGCGAATCTTGTTCATATCCGGAGGGTTATGACGAAGGGCACGCTCGATAAGGATGGTGATCATGTGCGGAGTGAGACGGGAACCGAAACCGTTTCCGCGCATGTGCTGCTGCAGTGCGGCTATGACATCGTCAGAGCAGTTGGGGAGACCGTCCAGGGCGTAAAGCACCTTGCCGTACGTCTCGAGATTGGGTTTGAGGCCTGCTTGCTCGATTTCGTTGAAGACGGACTTTATGGCAGAGACTTGTTCCTTGGCGCTGGCATCGTGCATGCTACCAATGACAGTTTCGAGAAGAATGGTGAATGTCGCGGAGTCAGGTTCAATACCATGTGCTTGCATGGAACGCAGAAGCTGATTGATCTCTTCGTGGTGACCCAAACGGATGGTCTCACGGATGAGGATATTGTATGTACGGGTATTGGGTTCAATGCCTTGCTTTCCAGCCCAACCTAGCAGCTCATGCGCCGCCTTGGCATCTGTGTGCAGTAAGCCCTTGAAGGCAGCGTTAACAGTCTCGATGTTGGGCTCCACAGCCTGGTCCTGAGTTCCATCCTTGACCGCCTGGCGCCAATTGTCTAGCAATTCCGAGAGTGCCTCGAGGCCCTTTTGGTGTTGTCCGAGCTCAATAAGGGCCGACACACGCTCAGTCCAGATGACGCTGTCCAGCTTCGTACCGGACTTTACGAGTTGATCCCACAGCATTTCGATCTTGCTGATATCCTTGCACATCTTCCATCCGTGCATCATGCTCGTGTACGTCCTAATTGTGGGTTCAAGCTTGAGCGATTTCATGAGGTTGATCGTCTCCTGAGCTTGAATCGGCCGACGGATCGCACACCACACAAACGCCCAGAAGTCAAGAAAGTCGGAGTCCTCGGCCAGCTCGGCTTTGAAGGCCGGACTGTCTTGCAGCTTGGCTGTCATTGAATGCCAGATGGAGCCGACAGCGCCTGGATCACGCCTTTTGTAGGCCGTTCGTACCTGTCTGTGGAAGTTCATGAGACTTCTGTGGGCGTCAGGATCGTGGTGAAATATAGTTTCCTTCTGGGCCGCGCTAATCATTTTGACTGCTATTGGCCACTGCTTCACAACATATTCCTTGAGCTCGTTGAGCCTTGAAGGAGGGACAGCAGAAGGCTTGGTAAATGCAGCCTCGACACCAGCTTGCGTCATACTGTACTCTGATAGCACAGGTTTGATAAGGAAGAACAAAGGCGACATCATTGACTTGTATGAAGCACCTCCGAATCTGTTATCGGATACAACAGCCATAGTAGCCAAGAGCGCAGGAATAATTTCTTGTGCTTGTGGAGGCGGGAATTGGAGGAATATAGAGGCCAACGCACGAGTTGCTTGTTCCCCCCGAGACATGGACCCATCAATCTTGATGTACTCAGAGATATCCTTCATGACTTCTGTCGCAGAAGGCAGCGCGAAGCGTAGCGTCCGGCCAACTTGGCTGGGCCGCTTGAGTTGAGAAACATGTTTCCACAAATTGAGGATCCTCATTCTGATTTCGGAGCGGTCCTTTGAGCTGTTCTTTACCTGCACTATCCTACAGCACATGCTCAGGATAAGGTCGTTCCTGATGCTCAGGTCATAAACTCCGAGGGCACTGTATTTCTGTGCTATGTCCAGGCTGTTGTTGTAGTCGGCTCTCTCGAGCATGTAGTCGCGCTGTTTGGCGAGCAGTTGAAGCGTGGCTGTGTAAATTGGTTTGGGGATGTGGCCTCCAAGTGCTGTGATGCCTGGCCAGATCTCATCCTGAAAAATCCGGTACATTTTTTCGATGGGCACCTTGGGTGATATCAAGGTGTTGATTAATGTGGTAATTTCGAGCTCACTCTGAGGCAGAGGCGTACTGAAAAAGGTTGTGTCTGTGGGAGTTTCAACCTCCTTGGGGCTCACAACCTCTTTGAAGAGGGCCAATGCTATGTCCTCACCGGGTTGCCTATTTTCTTTGAAGGCATTGACTCCTTTTCTCTGACCTGGATGTCGTGATCTTGAGTCCCTGCTTGTATTGTTTGGCCTGGAGGATGCTGGCGACCTGGTCTCAGCTGCAGTGGAATAAGAGGCTGCAGCCCCAAGCCGTTTGGTCGAGGCTGAAGCTGAGACCGGGGTCGATCGCCATTGAGATGAGCATCTTGAACAAACTGTCCGAGATGCGTACATGTTCAAGCTTTTGGGCGATTAATTGCAGTCGCAATGCAATTTGTTGCTTAATCAACGTCTTGTCTTGGTTGAGGCTTGACTATATTTTTAGGTGGTGAAGAGAAGATGTGCGTACAGCCAATCATGTACCGTCTGCTGCAACCCACCTTGGTAAACTTCGGTGTGCATATTCCCGATAGTCAAGGATCAATTACCTCTACCTACATCTGAGATATCGGCTTGCTATATCAGCTGGTAATATTTTTAAATTATCTTAATATTTATGACTTTAATCTTATTTTAGGAGTTGGCGAATATTGACAAACCAAAATCAATGATTCATCGGCAGTCGGTGTTTTCTAACATGTAAAAACTCTTATAATTACAAAGAAGCCTTGAACTTGCCATCAATCTCAACAATCTTCTCCACGCTCTTCTTATAGCCTTCCTCGTTCTTGATCATCTCAACGTACGCTGCCACCTTGGGGAACACGGTCTTCCAGGACTCTTCTCCCTCAAAGGTGCCAAACTTGTCAAGTTCCGGCTCAGCCGCGATCAACGGGAAGCTGAGCAGGATATCCGCCGACGTCAGCGAAGTACCGCAGATGTAGTTGCCTCCTGATGTGGCCAGATGACCCTCAATCATCTTCAGGTTGACTTGCAGATTGGGGGCAATGAATGAAGAGATGACTCGGTTGGCCAGCATCGTTGAGATGGGGCGGATGAAAAACGGAACCATTGGGGATTTGAGCACTTGAAGAGAAGTTAGTAAACGGCAATGCATTGAGAACAGAGTCAAACTTACTGCCGATAACAAGTCCCATGACCAGAGGAGGCATGAGAGTACCCTCACAGTAATGAAGGTAGTACTGATATCTCATCCACATCTCAGTCTCACCTCCAATCTTGCCCTCCATACCCTTCTTCCATCGTGAGGGCATCAGCCTTTTACCCTCAGGTACATTCTCCGTGAGGTACTGTGTGATGAAGCCACTCTCAGCCAAGGTAATAGGCTCAGCGCCTGCCTCAGCACCAGCGGGTGTGAGCTGGATCACGGGCGACTTTCCCAGAGGATGAATCTTTTGAAGTTCTGGAGGAGCAAGGAATGTCTGCTTGTTGCGGTGGAAAATTTCAAGCTCATAAGGCAACCCGAGCTCCTGAAGGAGCCAGAGAATACGCTGAGAGCGAGACTTTTCGAGCCTAGTTCCATTAGTTAGTATCGGTGATTAAGAGTATAGATGAAATCATGAAAGACACACCAAAAGAGCTTGACATTGGGGAGTTCGTTGGAAGCCATTGCGAAATGTATGTATGATATGAATTGTCCAGTATACGGGTAAATGATTTTGAATGAAACAAAGTATTCACAAACTAACCCAACAAAGTTTGCGCGCCTCGAATTATATGTGTACTACATAGTCACGTCGCTTTTTGTAGCCTCGGCCAAGCTTCCCAATGTGGTCGGCCTAACTAGACTATCCGATGGATGAATTATGACATCCTTGCGGCCTCACACCATTGTCGTTGGCTGGTCGATGCAGATCAATTGAGGTCCACATATCATATATCACATGTACCGAGCATCTCAGCTCGAGCCGTCTCGTATCACATTGGGTCTACTGGTACATGCTTTATGATTCGTCTCATTTCGTACAAACAAAGGCCTCTAAACTTTAGCCTTTCATCTAACTTGGTCTATGCCACTCCCTGATGCTGCCGTTCGCCATGATGTATCTAGTACAGTTCAATGCAATGTAATGATGAACCTGTCTCCCTAATGATCCGCCCTCAACAAAGCAAACATATGAGAACCAAACGCCATGTGTTCTCCAAGACTCCTCCAATCTGGCACAATGCCAAAAACAACATGTAATTGCATTACCGCTTACTTCCTCGTAAAAACACCAATCTTCTTTTGTATCTTAGCACGCTTCTTTACTTTGTAATTGATTCCAACATCAAGCAGTGTTTCTTAGGTGTAAATCGAATGTTGCTCAACAATAATCACGTAGGTTTGCTCATCGTCGTCGAGTCTTAGCTGCTGGGGCTGGGGCGTCATTAACAGCCTCGCGCTTTCGAGTTTGCTTCCGAGATCGTGGCGGTGGGGGAGGATCGCTGTGCAAATGTCCCAGCTCCTCAAGCGCTATCGTGTTCTCCCACTGGAGACTGCGATAATTGGATGTATCGGGTGACTTATCTCGGATACGTGTACTCATCCGTTTATGAGTTTCCTCCTTCTTATCGTTCTCTTCCTCGGCTGAGAGGTAGGCCTTGCGACTCTGCATGTGCTTGGCGATCTTCTCCTTGAAGGCTAAAAGCTCTTTTCGAAGCTTGAGTTCGTTGAATCCACGAGGATCCAGCCATTTGATAAGCTCATCAACATGTTCAGGCTCTGAGATGTAACCCCATTGATGCGCGTTGAACACGCTGGTGTTGGACTCCTCCATGGCCTTCCGCTCAGGCACGGTCATGTTGAATTTTGCCTTATACTCTTCTTGAAGATCAGCGGGCAAGTCGATGTAACCTTCTCGCTCGAGTTCGTCAGGGCCTTGGACCCAAATCAGACCGTTAGCATAATCCGCTGCGGCTGTTGAGCTGTCAGGAAGGCCACCATAAGGCATGCCATTCCTTTCAAACCAGTAGTACCGGTTCCAGAAGCGATCTTTTCCAAGCACTCGGGTTCGAGGACAATCGGCCTCGCGCAAGTCATTTTCAATGACAGCGATTTCATCCTCGCACTTCTTGATGATGTCCTCTTTCTTCTGAATGTCCTTCAAGAGCTTGATGAATTGCTTCGACTGGGCTGGGGGTTTGGGAGGCTTGGCCATCTTGGCAGCCTTCTCCTTCTCCTTCTTAAGTGCTTGCTCTTCTTCCTGCTTGCGCTGCTTAGCTGTGAGAGGTCGTCGTCGCTTTCTAGTCGTCGTCGGATCCTCTTCGGTCTCTTCCCCGTCGGCTTCTCGAGACATTATTGAATCGTCAGGCTCGGCCATCTTCACATCGCCGTCCTCTTCCTTTGGTGGCGAGGGAGGCATGTTGTCTGGCAGCAAGATCTTCTTCTGCTCGTTAAGTTGACGCAGATCCTCAATACTGTAGAGATTGTTAGCACGAATCAACAACCGCATATCTTCTTTCCAACTTACGCTTGCTTGCGCTGTCGCTGCCATTCAATTCGCTCCTTGCGGTATGTGGTCATGGTTTCGCTGCAGTCCTCCATGTAGCCACGCATAGCCTTAGTCTCAGTAGTCAGCATGCAGATAATCTGCAGAACCTTGACGCGTTGATTAACGTCGAGCTGAGCATATCGCTGTTTAACAGTTTCTTGTGTGGCATCGACACCAGCTGGTACGAGCAGGTGCAATAGCTCTTCGCAGACATCGTGCTGACGTTCATTCTCTGACAGCTGATGAAGGAGGCCCACCAGGATTCGCTCCCAGCCTCCATTGGCAAAGTCTCGCTTTCGAAGATGCTCGATCCAATCGTAATCCTCCAAAATCTGTTCGGCACGATGCTTGGTCTCTTCCTCACTCTCCTTCTCAGCAGCAGCAGCTTCAGCAGCCAGTCTCTCTGCTTCAGCCTTGGCAAGACTGCTACGAGTGGCTCGTCTGCCTGGTTTGACTTCTGGCTCCGGAGTAGGCAGTGCACTGGCATCCTCGTCCTCCTCCTCGTCGCTATCTTCTTCGTCGACTTCAGGTAGAGTAATTCGCACCTTGCCACCGTCGGCTTCTGAGTCTACCAAAATCTTCAAAACTGAGCAATGAATCTCGTCAATGAGCTGGATTGGCACTTTCTCCGAAGCAACACAGAGTGCCTCAACATAATCGTCAAAAGTGAAAGAGTCCAGCTTGAAGACCTCGCAGTACACATTGAGTGTATCCCAAGTCTCGAGCAATGGCCCGATGGATTCCATGTTGATCTTGTCAGAGAAATCGTCCTGGATTGCGTCGTCGTTTTCGACCTTGGCTGGGGGGTTTCTGCAGAGAAATTTGAGATGTGGACGCTTTCGATCATCCCGAGGCTCCAGCTGTAGATCCTCAATAGGGTACTTGGGAGGAGGGGGAGGAGGGGGAGGAGGAGTGGGCTCGCGTTGGGCGGGTGTCTGGATGCCATAGTCTGAAGGAGAGCTAAACGGGTTGCCTCCATGAACAGGCATGTTAAGAGGCCACTTGAGACCCTTGGATCCCGATCCATGTTGCCCCGGCTTCGCCTTGCTCTTAGGAGCTGGCTTGAGTTCTGGGAGACGAACTGGACCTGATTGAAGCGCCGAAGTCAAGTCGTGGCCGTTGATGTCATGATTGATGTGCGCTCTCTTCTGTGCCTGGAGTTGCTTGCGCTCCATAACCTTGGTGTCGTATCGAAGATGAGGAGGCACGCGAGTGTCAATGTGATACTGGCTTGCGTAATCGTGCTTGACCAGCCATGGTGCGCCGTTCCATGCATCACGAGTGACTGTCTTTTTAATGAAAGATCTGAGCATTGCCTTTGTGAAGATGCCTCGGTCTCGGCAGATATGTTCATCTGTGACTATCGTCTCCCCTTCTGAATCCTTGAGATCCACGAGGTAGCGTGTTGTGGGCAGAGAATGGCTTCCATCAGGAAGGGCGCGAGGACCGAATGTTGTCTTATCGCGCACCAACCCGTGTGCGCGATCGCCTCCCTTCATGGTCACTGTGACCTCTTCGCCAGGGTAGTAGTCATGCTTGAACTCGTCGTAGATTTGATCGACAAGGTTATCGAGGCGAGAAACAGTCTGAAACTGCACCTTACGCAGTATAGGACCTTTCAGCGCCTCGGGAAACGAAGCTTCAACTTCTTTGCCACCCGCAAGCTAAATGGTCATGTAAGTCCAGAACGTTACGATTAGATTTGGCGGGCGGTACAAACCTCACTCTTCAACGCCTCAAAAAAGGTCAAGCCAGAATGTCCAGTGATTTGATCGTTGAAACGACGCTATGAAGTAGGTCAGCAAGGAGTAATGTGATATGAAACCAGGCATCGTGGCTAACCTGTTTGTAGAAATCCATGCTAAGAATAGTATAAGCGAAGTGCACATGGGATTAGCTAACGAATCAAACTCACCGATCAAGATAGCTATCATAAGAGGTGAAAACCTCCCCTGTTTGAGGAATAAGCCAAACCTATCACTGGTTAGTGGTTGCGCAAAACCTGGAGCTCCCTGCGTGCAGTCATACCTCGGCGTTCTCATCTTCAATCTCCGCGGCCGGCAAGAAGCGGACGGGTTTGCGTTTGAAGAGAACCTTGAAATACCAAGTCAGTAAAAGAGCAGACGCAAGGAAGTGAGCAGTGGAAGCGCATACCATTGTCTAGTAGTTGGCGCAAGTCGCCGGCGTGGAAGTGTCAAAGAAATCACCTGCAAGGCTGAAGGTGTAGCCTTTCCCCCACTAATAAGAATGTCGGTTCAGTATGCCGGTATATGGTAGCATGAGCAGGCAGATACAGAAGCAAGAATGTGGTGGGAAAACGCGAGACTAGGAATTCGTGCTAAAGCAAAATTTGGGGCCGTTTGTTGAGTGGACAGATCGAGAAGAGCGAACGCGGGCGCGCAGGTGGGAAACAAATCGGGGGTGGGCTCCTCTTCTCGAGAGTGATGCGATGGAGCCCAGGCCTAGGCAGGATCGAGGCGACTTACACGGCTGAGGCTGATCAGGGTATAAGACACGAAAAAGATGCTGTATAAGTCAGTTTGGCCTGGTGAGTGTGAGGCAAGCAGTGGGAGTGACGAGAGTGAGGGTGAGGGCGAGAGTGAGAATGATGTAGGTAGGAGAAGAAAAAGAAGAGCCCAAGAAGGAAAGAAAGGAAGGAAAAGAAGCGGGCTTTCCATGGACTGGACGCGACGGGAGTTTAACGGCTGCTCGCTAGGGTTCCGGGGATGGTAAGTGGAGTCACTGAGAGCTGAGAGATACTTGTAACGTCACTAGTGTTCCGCCCATGATTCAGTATCTCGTTTGTATAAGTAACATCCACTCTAATCCCGTACCTTGCGTTTGTTAGTGCATCAGGCCCAGGTTCACGGGAGGTATTAAAGTAGATGGTATCCAAATTTTGCATTCAAATAGCCTATGAGATAGATAATTATGAGATGCCTCTCTTTCTGATTATATGGAAGAATACACACATTCTTCTGAAAGGACCATATCACATCAATCAATGCTTTGCTGTCATCCTAGCCAGCGCGTCAATCAAAATGCCATCCAGTCCCAGATTTTTTTTAGCTTAGCTTCTCATGGGGTCCGCCAACCCCTGCGGCCCGCCGGTCCTCCTCCTCACGGCCTTAGATCCATCATTCAACTTTGCCCGCCTATAAAACAAGTACAAGTCAACTTTTTGCCAACGTTCTTGGGCTCATTTTAATCCTTGTAAAATTCTGGACTCAACCAGCGGTACAAACGTCTTGATAAGCGAGTATTTGAGAAATTGCACTGGATATAGCTATATCTTGAAATCTCCCCGGACACTCGGCATACCATCATCTCGGGACGCCAAGTAAGCTTCTGTTACAAACACCACGCACTCTACAAAGAAACAAACACATTTGAGCAATGCAAGAGTCTCCAATCATGATGTATTATCAATACAGCTGATCTATTGTTCTAAACTATTGCTATGCAAATGCATCATGACATAGAACTTTGTAGGTTTCCACCACCAACTTGTCTAAGCCATGTGCCATTGCTATACAACCCGCTGCCGCAACAGGTCCCAATGGAGCTGAATGACCATGTTAGTATGCATGATTATAAAAAACATCCTTCCACTGCAGTTTTTGACACTGGCATAAATATTGCCAATGCAGCTCCCAAGCTAAACCCGGAGTCTCCTCCAGGGGCCTGGGGAGCTCCACATTTCAGATCGCCAATTTATTCCACCGCCTGCTAGGCACTTGTGAAGCTGAAGATACTTCAACATAAGATGGCAGTGTTGATCAGGTAGTGGGCATGACCCAAAGTCATAATTTCATCTCTCGAGTATTGACCAATTGGTATTTGAGGCTCATATACTCATCATGACAAACAATCGATATACTTGTAGTTTCCCGCCAACTCACAGGTTATCATAAACTAACGAGCTTTGTGCATCCCTACCCTTGGAGTCTGCATCTACCTAGCTCTGAGACGCTTGTGTGGTTTGGGTTAACTCCCTCCTTACATGCTATTGATTCTACTCACTTCTTACTCACTCTGTTACCTTACCAGAATGTTGCATTCCTTTCAATCAAACTACGTTTTGATAAACTCACCCACTGTCTCACAAAGGTCACAATAGGTCTGCCCAGTTTTTAAAGGATAGGAAATCTATTTGGGTATCTTGATATCTGCTTCAGCTTACGCAGTGAAATACACAACCATATATCCCACCCAACTTCCAACCACACCTATCGCCGAGTACGAGCTCGTAAACATCAATGGGATAAACTCATAATCCTTTCCGAAAATGAGGTGGTGTAGAAGAGAGCAGTACAGGATAAGCGGGATGCTTATAGCGATGTAAAGAGTACTGAAGCGGTCCAGGAGGAAGATTCTAGGCTTGTTGGAAGCAGGGGCAAGGCGGCCAAACGCCAAGAGGAATACCACCAACCAGACAATAGTGTAAATGGTTTTGATAGGGAACTCCGCTGGTGTGAAAAGGAGTGGGAAGAGTGACACATGGCCGGCAACGACTAGTGGTCGGAAGGCTCCGAGATGGCGCCTATCCTGAAGGGCAATGAGACTGAAGGGGATAATGACGAGAAGAATAGCCTTCTCATGTACATGCCAGCCGAATAAGAAAGAGGAGTAACCGCATAAGGTGACAGCTCCAATGAATGTTTCCCAAGTGGGCTGGACGAAGAGCTTGATCAGAGGCACGACCTGGAAAAACAATGTGAGAACAAAGCAGGTTCGTGGGCTGATCTCTGGCAGCACGGCGAACGCCGTATCTCCAACCAAGCCACGGGTGACACTTTGCAATGCGCTCTTGTTGACAGCCCATCCAATTCGTGGTGCAACTATCATGTGTTAGACATACGCGCTTATGCAGTAGAGACGTCACATACCGTGGATAAGGATTCGGTCAGCAAAGGAGTAAAGAGCCCAGACGTTAGGCGCCCAGTAAGCATGGCAAAGTCCACGGGAGAAGGGGAATAGCCGACTCAAAAGCTGAGGGATCTGACCCATAGCAGCAAACGGACCAAATGCAGCTCCAAAGATCGTTCCAATACCCAAGCCCAGCTTGATCGAGTTCAAAAATCTAATGCGGAAGATAGATTTGGAAGACAGGCAATATGCTCGCAGTAGATAGACAAAATAGGCTGGGGCCAAGTACAAGTAGATATGCTTGAAGCAGAGCAGGGCAGCAAAGATGAGTCCACTGCTCAATAGCTCACTCTTTTCGCGCGCGAGAACGAGGGACATGACGAGAATACCGTACATGAAGCCATTGTACTGGAAGTGGATATGGTCGATGATGAGAAGTCCCGGGGAGAGAATGATTGACAGAGCGGCGGTCTGAGCAGCACGGCAAGACTTGAGAGGAGCTGTTTCGATAAAGGTCTGAAGCGCCCATATCAGAACGAGCTCGGTAATGATGACGGAAGTACGTTGGAAGTAGACGGTCTGCCAGCTATCGTAGTCGAGATTGTAGACCTTGACCATGAGGGGATCTACGAGACGAGCAACGTGGGCAAGTATCCATTCGAAGTAGGCGAAGAAGGGAGGATAATCCAATGTCCATTCCGAGGTCTTTTCGACATACCACTTCTCCAGAGGAAGGCTGTTCGTGATGGCAAGCCAATTGCGATGAACTTCAAAGTCGGTGGATTTGCTGCGGACGGGGATTAGCGACGCGACAGACAAGACAGATAGATGGCGACTCACTATGCGGGGAACAAGAGGATCTTGAATGCAGCAGCGACAAGCGCAGTCTGCGCAAGTGTCGGATAGTGCTCACTCATGATGCGCGATGACGGATTCTGTTGTCGCTGAGCTGTAGTAGTCACCTCATGTCATGGCCTTCTTTTTTGACTGCGTGGGATTATTTGATACAAGTCATGAGGAGATGGAGATTGGCTCGTGTTCTTTTTGGGAACCTGGCCTAACCTAAAGAATGGAGGTTGATAGCAGGTCCCCACTAAAATGATATACCCTGGGATTGACAGCTTTGGAATTTGCGGGGGTCATGTACCAACTAAGCTCCCTGTCAAACAGAGTTTGTGCAATTGTGAACAGCATCAATTCGATGATCAATTCGTACCGTTCCTAACTATTAAACGAATTGCATTGTTCAATCGCCAACGCATCAAAAAGGGGCTCTTGTATGTAAAACTTACAAGCTATTGATGGGCCGAGCTCTATTCGTCCAGCTTCCTCTATTACTCAAGTCCACCAATCATAGCCTCTGCTTGGCTTTACCAAGTCATGTCGCCCTAAAGCTAGTCGACATGGCTACGCCACAGAACCCCTTCAAGGCTGAGCTGAATGGCTCGCATGTGGCTTCATTAACCCATTCTGTGTCCTCTCATGAGACCTTCTTCTCTCTCCTGAGTTTCTAGTTGATGGCCGATTATTGATGACATTGTTTCTTTTCTTAACAAAATTGTTCATGTCTATTTGACCCGTTATTTGTGCTCGCCAAAAGCCTGTAATTACCAGTTCTTCAACCGGCAACCTACCTGCATCCCCCGCTCTTAGAACACCATCTTCTACCTATTTCGGAGCTACACACTGTTTCCAGGGGCTACATAGTGCAAAGTGTCCTCAGCCTTGCCTCCACCATTTCGGCTCGTATTTTCCACTTCCCGATCCTTCTTGTACGACTCGCCTTCTTTTGTTTTTGGGAGGAAAAGGAGTGTTATTTCAAGTCGTGTCTGTGGTTGATTTCTTGACATATCCCTGTTTTTGTTCGTTTTATTTGTCCATTGGAGAGCTACCATGAAGGTCTCTTTCTCTTTGGCTGCGCTGCTGGCAGCAAGCCTGTCGCAGGCTCAATATCTCATCAGCGAACTTAGTTTTGGTCATGCTGGAAGGTTTGTTCTGCACCTTAGACTTCTCTATTAATACTGTCAAGAAGCGTTGTTAACCTGCATTCCTCCCACAGGATAAGTCCCGTCGAGTCTCGTGGACAGATCCCCAACTTCGCCGTCCAGGGCAACCCAAACACTCCCGAGGTTCTCTCTAACCGAATTATCCTCACCCCTCTCGCTCCCGGTAACCAGCGTGGTGCCGTTTGGGGTCAGCAGCCTTTGCTCCGTACCCAATGGATCGCCGACGTCGACTTCCGAGCCAACGGCCCCGATCGCGGCCGCGGTAACCTCAACATCTGGCTTGTTCGCAACGGTCCTGCTACAATCGGCGCTGGGAGCATCTACACTGTTGGCAAGTTTGACGGTCTTGCTCTGGTTATCGACACATCTGGCGGTTCTAGTGGTATGGTTCGCGCTTTCTTGAACGACGGAAACACCGATTATTCTCGACAGAACAACGTTGATGAGCTCTCGTTCGGTCACTGCCCATACAACTACCGCAACCTCGGTCGACCCTCGCAGGTCAAGCTCCGACAAACTGCCAAGTCTTTCCGTGTTGAGCTGGACGGCAAGCTCTGCTTTGAGTCTGATAAGATCAGCATTCCTACCGGCTACCAGTTTGGTGTCACTGCTGCCACCCCTGATAACCCTGACTCTTTCGAGGTCTTCAAGATGGTCGTCATGGCTGATAACAGCGATACTGGTGCTGTTCGCAACGATCCTCCCAAGCAGCAAAACCAGAACCAGAACCAGAACCAGAACCAGAACCAGAACCAGAACCAGAACCAGAACCAGAACCAGAACCAGGCCCGTGGTCAGCCCGCCAAGGCCAACTCCAACAATAACAACAGAAACGATGGCGAGTACGCAGACGAGGATCCTGATATCTTCCAGACCTCCAAGACCCAGTTCATGGACCTACACAACCGCCTTCAAAACACCAACCACCAGCTCTCATCTCTGCAACGCACATCTTCCCGTCACCAGCAGCAGGATGAGAAGCGCCATGAGGATTTGACATCCCTCATCGGCCAGCTCCGTGCCGACATGCGTAAGCTTGATGATATCACCGCTCTCAATACACGTATCACAGAGCTTGAGAAGGACATCCAGGGTCTTCGAAAGGAACTCACCCGCAAGTTGCAATCTACGGAGCGCACCTTCAAGACCACCCTATCCGACCACCACAGCACCTTGTCGGAGGTTGTCATGAGTAAGACTCCTGGTCACAAATTCCTCATCTTCTCCATCATTGGCACCCAGTGCATTCTCGTCGCTGCCTACGTCGTCTATAAGAGAAGGCGAGCATCCATGCCCAAGAAGTACCTGTAAATAAGGCACAAGAATTAAGAGGAGGATATTAACTGGATCAGGCAGGGGTTGCGCATTCATTGAGGTGGGGTTCCATGACTTCATACATTGGTGCGTTGTATTGCTGTGCTTTGTAAATTAACTTATATGCATGAGCCGTGTGTATACGGGAGAGTCTTTGTGTTTTTGAAAATCAATAAGGACAAATTTGAAACTATTTCATGATTCGAAAAACTAAAACCCTGTGTATATCCAAAAAAAAAAAATCATTCTCATCGTCGATTCCAGTATTCGACGTTATTAAATCGCATTAACGAGACAGGAAGTCTTCTTGTCCATCCATGTGTCATTAGACCTCCCAAATTCTCTTGTACCTGTGAAAACTACCCTCGTAATAAATCCCAACACCAGTAAATCTCTTAAATCTTCTCAAAACTGCCGTTGATCACGTCAAGCATCTCGTCACCCTTGGGTGCGCCAGAGCTCAAGTTCTCATAACCTCCGTGCGTAACAAGGATATCATCCTCGATACGAACACCGCCAACGGGATAATATGTCTCGAGGAGCTCGCGGTTGATGAACTTTGCATGTGTCGAGTTGTTCAGGAAGTACCCCTCAATGAAAGGACGGCAGAAGTAGCTTGTGCGAGTCAGTAGCAATTCGCGGATGCAGAAGGGGTCAGGTACTTACATTCCTGGCTCGATTGTAACTATCATGTTAGGCTGAAGAGTCTGTCTGGGCCTGGTAGGGCCTGGTGTTGAAGCCATGCGGTGCATAGCTACCAGCGCGGCGGCAGTCACCATCTCACGCTTTCCACCCTCAACGTGAAAGTTGTCTCGCATGAGGAGGCGCTCATCACCAGTGACATCGTGAACCTCAAGACCAAGATGGTGGCCCAGGCCGTGGGGAAAGAAAGCTGCAACAGTACCCGCCTTTTGGATCTCGTCAAAGCTACCTTTCAAGAGACCCAGCTTGCGCAAGCCTTGAAGAGCCACGTCGCTAGCGTGAAGCTGGAGCTCATAGTAAACAGTGCCGGGCCGGACACGTGCTATGCACTCTTCCTGCATGCGTTGCACAATAGAGTAAATTGCAGAAGCTTGCTTTGAGAAAAAGCCGTTAACAGGAAGAGTGCGAGTAATGTCACTGGCATAACATTGGTACTCACACCCAGCATCGACAACCATGAGTTGGTTTCCCTCAAGTGGCTGGTCATTGGACTCGTAGTGCAATATGGAGGCGTTGACGCCGGCACCAGCAATGATTGGATATGCCTGAGTGTGAGCACCACGTGAAGTACAAGCTGCGAGAATGACTGCTGCGACATCCTGCTCGTTACGCATAGTCAGAAGGCGTTCAGCCACCGCACGATGAGCGGCGGCTGAAATGCGTGCAGCACGACGGATAAGCGCAACTTCGTATTCTGTTTTTATTACACGGGCTTGATCCATGGCAGGACGTAGCTTGGAGCAGTTGATCTTTGTCTGTCCTCGAGGCCGGTCATGAAGCTTGGGGGCCTGGTCTGTGTGGATAACATAAAGAGTTCTCTCAGGACGGAGCTGGCTGTGAAGAAACTTTTGGAGTTGCGCCGTGTATCTGACGTCGTCGACATCGTATTTTCGCATGGCCTCGGCGGCGTCTGGAGTTGGGCCATGATATAAGACCTGGCGCGGCTCAGCGTAGGGAATCCAGAGAGTGAGGCGATCCGTAGCGATATCATAAGTGAGAACACAGTCAGGAAAGTTGGCGCCGCTCATATAGTAGAAGCTGGAACTTGGTCAGCAAGATATTTGCGACAAAGGATGTATAACAGACTATCTCCGTTGCTTGAAAGGGGGCGATTGATCTGAGTCCTCGTAGAGCCGCGTAGGCTCACCAGGAAGATAGATGAGGCCATCGGTAACGCCAAGCTCCTTGGCAACCTTGCGCGCATGAAGTTTTGCTATGTAAATTGTCAATAATCTGTTATTTCGTCGGGTCACACAGAGTAGACTCATGTCTGTCTCGACATACCAGGATACTTGTTACCGCTGCTGCTTTTACCGCTAGAGTCACCGTCGTTCCTCTTCACCTCAACGCACCTGACTCACAACTCTGGTCAGTAAATTGAAGTGGTTCACTAAAATTTCAGGTGTGTATATCATTGCCACTCACAGCGCATCAAACTCATCCTCAAGCACAAACTCGTAGCTGACCGAGGTTCTTTCACGTGCTTGAGGCTTTTCCTCCCCGCAAATAGGCTTGGGCGGTGTCATCTGCGCACACTATAAATGAGCGAATCCGACTCGTAGGATAATGTATAAAACGAATGGGCTCAATCAAAAAGAAAGGCCGAGAAACCAAAGAGAGCTGATTCGAGATGCGTAGTTGGGGAATAAACGTTGCTTTGGTGAAAGACGGTTTTCCATGTGATAGCACTAAAGCTACAGTAATCAATAAGCTGAGCTCAGCGTATCGTAACGCTGCGATAACGCCTTGTACAAGCCCAACAGTACTAATCCATCCATTTCATGACGCAACCAAACCAGATCGATAAAACAACGTTTTAGTCTTAATAAAATTGTTGGGGACAATTAAACTTACTAAGTAACTTCATTGATAGTTTAAGTTTCCATGTACAAACATGTTCTCCTCTCAGGTCATCAGAAAAGTTGGCCGCTTGGGGTATAAAAAACGAAATAAGCAGTTCACTTTATGCTATTTAGACAATGATCTCAGGTTACTTATTTTCAACCACGAAGTTCAGAGGTCATCTTTTCTGTTACTCGCTACTAGGTAGCCTCCATCTTGTTCTCAGATCCAATCTGATTAAGAAAACACTATCCAAATCATATTCCATCAACATTACATATTATCAATACAACTAACTGAATGCTTTAGGTTGTTTGAAGGCGCCTTATGGCATGTCTTGTTCATTATATCTATACTGGAACTGGATACAATGCAGTATGGGAATGATCTCCCTAGACTACAACACTACCTGGCCAGCTTCTTCCACCACCAAACTCCTAGCAACATGAAGACAATCCAATCGTTGCCTCTATGTACACCAGATCCTACCACCGTCTATGTGCGTTGGCCATATCTAAGAACGTAAGCAATCCCTTGCTATCAGCCTCAAACCAAGGTATCTCAGGACCCTTAACAATCCAAACACTCCATCCCAAATCAGAATCGCTCTTCCCAAGAAATCAAAATCAAAATCACTAGCCGACGCCTCGCGTGCTTTCCGTCCTCCCGTATCATAAATGGGTATCAAATGTAGCGACCGTTACATTCCTTGGAATCCTCCTCTTCCTGAACCAAAGAAGCCTCCCCAATCCGCCTGCATTCCCTGTTCTGTAAACATTTGTTGTATTTGCCTTTCTTGATGTTGCTGTCTGTGCGCTCGTCGGTGCGCCATTGAATGACCCTGATGGATAGCGTGCGTTTGTGAAACCGGTCGTCTTTGTTGCATTACCGGCGGTTGGTTGGGCTGCATTGCCATGAGGTTCGCAGGGTTGGCATACATGGGCTGAGGCGACACACCCATCATTCCCTGACCTTGTTGATGCATCATATAAGGCGGGGGCTGCCCAAAGATCTGGCTTTCCACATCATCGAATGTTCCAGTCAAGAATAGTTGCATGTCCTGGCCTTGATCAGCAATACTTGTGGTTGGATCCGCCTTGCCGGGGAACCCGAGTTCCATCATAGGCTGGTTAGGGTAGGCAAATGGGTCTTCTGAAGGAAACATGAGTGAATCGAGTTTGTTGACGGGGTTGTGCATGCCTATGGGCTGTCCACCGTAAGAGAATCGCTGAGCGCTTGTTGCTGTGCTGGTTGTTGACTCCGGAGTGCTACGCTGCATATCCGGGCTCATGAAGTCGCCAAAGTTGGCAGTGAAAGTGTTGTCCTGGAAGGAAGTAATGCCTCCTGCCTGCATGTCCATGGTACCTTGTGACATAGTTGTTGGGTATGAACTTGTCGAAACCTGGCTTGCACGTGTGAAATCGGCGGTTCCAAGCGATGACATGCTTGCTGGAATGGGGACATGATGTGAAGACCCAGAAGAAGGTCGTCCTGTAGGGGCTGATCTCTTTTTTGAAGGTACCTGTCGTAAAGATCCAGTATCGAGTTGCTCTGGTAGTTGATCGAAGAGCGCCTATTTGTCATGTCAGTGTGAATTACGAATCAAAAGGTGAATAGACCATACCGTGAGAGCGCCAGTGACTCGTTCTGCTGACATGCTCTTTTCCGACAACGCTGCGATCATATCCCTTCCGGCTCTAGCATCCGCGAGAACCTCAGTAGATCCAGGTTTCTCGGGGTTCTCTGTAGCATAAAAGACAAGCGAAAGAACAGCAAAGAATTCGGTGTACAGCATGAACCAGTACGGTCCACTAAGGACTCTCTGTTTACGAATCTCGAGTCCGATGTGCACGATGTTGCGAGAGACACTGATTGCTGCCGCTGCGCAGGCATATGAAAGCTCATCAACCTTGGTCCCTTGACTTAGGCGAGGAGAAACATAATGCAAAAACGGTCTGTATAGAACAAGTTGAACATGCGCATATGCAAATCTCAACAAGTGGCGGATTCTAAGCACGACATTAGTACATTCTTGCCCATATCCTATCCTAATTGCACTTACCTGACAGTCTCAATCGGGCCCTCACCGCTTGGACGCCAGTGTTGGGGAAGTCTTTCAAACCAAGAATGAAGTTCGGCCTCGATTTCCTTGATGCGGCCATAGCTAATGAGGTAGGTAGAAGCGGGCTTGTTGTCTTTTGTGAGACTCTGGCCCAATCCCTTAGTTGGGTAGACATATTTGGTAACCTTTGCCAAGATTTCCATCAATTCGGAGTGGGCATTGAATGCTTGGAAGAATGATGGCGACCCAGGGGGTGGTCGCAGAATACCGGTATGGGTGATGAACTCGTCGTCGACTTCTAAAGGAAATGGTTGATCAATGTCGTCCACATTGAGAAGGAGAGGAAAGCCAAGCAATGTCGAAACATAGATATCCATCTGTCGGACTACATAGAAAACGCGTTTCCGGACTTCCTGTTCGATTGGGTCGATCTTTTCATGTTGCAAATGTCGATGGAGACCTATCCGGAGTGATGAGCGCAGTGCAATACCAACAAAGGAGTAGCAGCTGCTAAGGTTCGAGGTAGCTTGGAGAAAAAGAATAACGAATAATAGAGCCTGGAGGGATATGAGATCTCGACAATCCGTCATGTCGTGTAGAACAGATCGCGCGGCATTATAATATTTGAGCCCTTCTTCCGTCGCATCTTGATAGGCCATACTTCGAGGATCGGTATCGTCCAGGTTGTTATACATGCAGCCGAGAGCCATAACAGAGAAAAGGAGTCCCAGATACTGTGTTTCCTCCTTTGACAAATTGTCCAGTGGGCGTTCATAAATTTTGTCCATTTGCTCATAAAACGTGGGAACGTGAACAATACGAACAAGACAGGTCGCGCAGCTGAGAGAATAATAACAAAGCTTCCGAGTGATGTCCTTTGGCGGAAGTTCGGGATAACTTGGAGCGACTGAGAATGGTGTTCCAACGGAAGACAGCGAGGGTGAATCGAGGCCGGCCGGTCGTTCGGCACGAGGTAAAAAAGGAGTTTTTGAACTTGGACCAAGCATGCCTCGGAAATGTTCCTTCATGCGCTTCAGGAATACCGCACCAGATGAGATACCGTGGAAATCCCAGCTTCCCTTTTCATCGAGATCGAGTTGACCAACCGAATCGATCATGGAGGTCAGATGGGCATCGTTCGGATCGGATTGACTCGACCGTTGACTTGGCGGGGGCTGTCGAATCTTGGAGGTTTGAGAGCGAGCATTTTCTCGGTTGCGAAATTCCTGTTGAATGGCTGGATCGAGGTTCGGATCGGCTAAGTCGACGTCGGGCATAAATTTGGAGAGCAGAGACTCGGCGCGTTGTAATCGGCTTTCTAATGCCTCAATATACTGCGGCGCCGGGTTCCTTCTCCTATTTGAAGGCTTGTCGTATGTGCATTCTGAAGGGAACGGTTAGTCACCGTGCGATATTCCAACAGGAGGGCTTGAAAGGCAAAAGCAGGCGATGGACTAGCCATATATAGGGGGGCCGCGTACCATAGCTGTAGACAGAGCAGTGTGTGCATGGTTGTTTGCCGTCGCATTTGATCTTTTTCCGTCTACATTCATCACAGGCGCGTGTTACTCGTCGTCGCTTTTGAATCGGTTGTGATGACGCGCCAGGCTGTTCATTCCCATCATCATCTAATTCGATATCGGATTTGATGCTCGCCGAAGGTGACGGGGCGTCATCGTGCCAGTTGTGAGAAGATTGGCCGCCGTCGTTGGCGGCGGCGTCGAGGGGCATGTCGGGCTTGATTATATTAGCAATGGACAATAAGTTTGGTCATTTTTAGAAAAAATTGGCGATATCAAGGAAACACTGTACGAAAGACAAGAGTTTCAGTGCGTCTTGGCGATGCTTAGTGCCCCATCCTGGATTCAACGCGTAAATGATACAAATTCCCAACCGAGGCACCGCGCAACGGCAATATGAGTGTAGGAGCGCGATTGAGGGATGAGGGTTCATAGGCACAACGGCCAAACGACTCGCGGATGGTGCTATAGGGCGTTCACTCACCGGTTGATAGGCTTTTCAGCCACGATGGAGTCGAATCTAGCGAGTTGGGTATTGTTCTAGCGGAAAAGAAAGCAAAAAGGGGGGAGAAGAAAATCGTCGTTGTTGTCGCCGCCGCCGCCGCTGTGCGGCAGAAATAGAAGTTGAAGCGGGCAGTCGAGTTGAAATGGTTACAGAATGAATGAGTTGCAGGGTGGTAGGCGTAAGTAGAGGTAACGAGGCCAGTGGCAGCCCATATCCCAATCGCCCCAAGACTCAAAGCCTAGGCCATCAGCGTTGGAAAGACGTCAGTTTAAAATGCCGCGGAGAAAGTGGCAGAGTCAAGAATAGAAACAGAGGAGAGTCCAGAATTGAAATGAGATGGTGATGACGGGGAAATCGCCCAGGTATTGGGCAAACAGAGCGATTAGTACTGTACGAGTTGTACCCTTCTCTACTAATGCTAGACAGGTAGCACCAAGTACCGGAGGGTAAATAGCGTAGCGTTTCGGACTGTACAGTACAGTTTTGTACAGGACCGAACTAGTGCAGAGTAGACGACGAGACTAGGCTAAACTGTTCCAAGTTGCAGACAGGGAAAGGGATGGGATGGGATACATGGGGATGGGGCAGGATTGCAAGAGAGAGCAGATTTCGCGACGGGACCGAAACGGCAGAGCGGGCGGGCACAGGCGATTTGGTAGAGGCTAACACTACAGCCCCAGGTACGTCCCACCTAGACCACCAACAGACTAGGCCGTGAACCCGCTGCAGGTTGGAAACCTACGAACGAGAGAGCGAGCGAAACGGGATGAGCGAACGAGGGGAGAGAAGGGCAGTCAGTTGGGCGGGGCCATCAAAAGGACCTGCCCGAGCTCCTAACCAGCCAGCCAGGCCAGCCCAGATGGACAGGCCAGGCTTTTGGGGCGGGCTTCGATTAAGTTGTCAAAGCCAGTTAGCACCGTGTTGTTAACACGGTTTTACATGTATCTTTTTTTACGCTACTTGTTAGTGTAGTGACAAAAAAAGAACCAAATTCAAGGTAGATAAAACAGACAATGTGGACAAGTCTGTCTGTAATCGTAGTCTGTGGTCTCTGTACGTACTAAGGTATGAGTCTATGAGTGAGGCCACCGCACACCAACTGTGCCCAGATCTCAAGAGTGAACGGCGGTGCATGCTAAGATTTGTCCAAGACTCAGGGCTAGCAATCAAGAGTTGCCAAAGGGAAAATGAGACACAAAAGGCTGGGAAATTTGAGTGCCAAGTAATACCAAGATGAAAAACATGTCGAGCCAAGACTAAACGCCAAGTACTAAACGCCAACGGACGACTGCGTCTGTAGTCTATGGTACAGACAGAGGAGGATACCGCACTCTTACTCACATTCTGCAACTGCGCGTAAAGAGAGACAGATTAAAGCCAAACTTAACGTTGCCAGAACAATCCTTCCAAAACAGGTTACCCATTGAGACAACAACCACGCAAGGCTAACATGCAGTAGTGGTGTTGTAGAGTTTGCAATGGCGTTGTAGGTATCCAAGATACACTTTGAGGCTTTCAACATTCTGCTTCTTTTATACAAGGAATAATTGGGTTAAAGTTGCGGGTTTGACCAAGATGGAACAAGAACGCAAAGCTAACAGCATGTTTATTTTCTTTACCTATCATGAGAGTTATTTCCAGTATCAAGGTAAACATATTCATGGTCGACGGTTTACATGACGATAAAGACGGTATCTTGAGACTCATTAACAAACCAGAAACCCTCGTGAACAGAATCAAACCCAACATTCCCCGACACCTCACACTGTGCATTCCAACTCGCAAGGTAAACGGGAGGTACCGCAGGGGGATAAGCCTTCGACGTACCGTACCAGCAGGGGAGGAAACATGGATCCAGAGGTATTGATTTGCTCACTTTGCTGTGCACATACATACAAAAGAACCTTTGTCTTGACGAGATATTAATTGCCTGTCTGAGTACGAATATTATCCCTGGTTTTTATTTGTTTTCTCCGATCAACAAACCACGCATCAGTCAGTGGCCGATATTCATTTTAGAGAACTACATCATTGTGCTTTGGTGTATTACATGAATGAGTCAGTGCCATTGTAATCAGCAACGGCCCTACACTAACTAACTAATTAATTACTGTATGTAAATCTCGTAACACATCAGTGGCTGAGTTCCATGTCAAAGGCTTCCAATTTGACGTTGTATCCCCTCCCTTGAAAAGGAACACGAATAATATATTATTGCAGTACCAACGTGTGCGCAATTTGAAGCACAACCACGGCTAAGACGGGACAGTAACCTCGAGAAAAAGAGAAGGCATCTCCACTGGCCAGGGCCTTTCCAGTGGACGGATGGAAAGCCGCGCGGCCGCAAAATAAACTCGCAGTCTCAGGAACCACCCCCTCTTGGAAGAACCGCCGTTCAGCGCCGCTGTGTGAACAAGCTCAAGCTGTTGCACCGGCGGATTCAAAATGGCCAGCGGCTTGTCGTTTAGTGATCATGATCAATTGACTGATTAATCAATGGATTGGACGGGTCAGGCGAGAAAGAGAGCGTCCTGTGCTGCAATGATTTTGTCGGCAAACATGACAATGTCATTGTTGGCACCCTTTGACACAAGCAACATCAAGTACAGTACCCAGAAGTAATTTTAAGCACCCGCTATCTGTACGTGCAGTGCAGGTTGAATGGACATGTACCAAATGGGGGCGATGAACGAAAGCGCAAAACGCAAAACGCTCTAGACCAACCTTGTCGTCAGCTAAATCACATCCATCAACCCTGACCTTGACGACTTGCTTGCATGGGCTGTAGACGGTGGTGAAGGCTTGTTAGGCTTGTGAATGGCTGCGCTAGGATGAACCTAAGCCTCACAACACCAGAAATTTGTGGAGGTTATTCTTGTTTCCGTGTTATCTGCGATGATAGAGGTCTTGTGGCAAGAACTGCCGTTTCAAGGGCTCAAGTCTCGGAGTCGCGAGATAAAAATTGAGGACGACAAAGGGCGCAATCAAGTGTCATGTCGATCTGTTGTTGAATACTCCGTACACATCATAACGTTGCATGTCTGTCGGTGATCCCTGCAAATCACCAGCAACTCTATTCTCAACGGCCGCAGACGGCCCTAACTTTGTCAATACCTTATCCTGCAGTCTAACGAATGCACTGGCTTAAGTGCGTCCTTTGCTGATGCTGACGCATGATGGAAGCTTAATAAAACAAAATTTTAATGACGAATTTGTCGGTGAGTTGCAATGACATAAAAGGTTCAGGGTCCTCGTTGATTAATCGGATGGTATCAGATAATTAAGGTTGGTGATCAGACCTCTGGTGTATTGGCTGCCTCTCGTCTCTTGCCTCAAAGCCGACATTTCTTTGTTCTGTAACTTGCGGTATTGCAGCATCTCCAATATTGAGCTGAATTTAGAAACAACCATTTATCGGCTCCGGAAATCACGGAAGCTGGCGGCTTCTGAATGGATGATTCCTATGTATGTGGCTTCCACCACACTGCACAAGCGATCCAGAGCGCCACACCTAATGGCCACATCCACCATTCTCTCTCATCAAAAGAGACCATGAAGCTGCAGCTCTCCTCGCATTCCATTCCATTTTCTAATGAACCATTCTGCATCTGCCATAACGATTTTTCTCAATTCGATACTACTATTAAAGATATTGGTGCATATGACATCATTCATCTCACCATATTCTTATGACAGCAAAGTACTACCTACCACCTGGATCCAGACCAAATTTCCGGCTCTTGTCCGGGTTTCCTCCGAGAATATTCTATCATAGTTCCTGACCTGACAGCGCGCCCTCTCGCGTCTTCGGGTTTTTGTTATACGCCTGCTGATCGCTTACTGGTGGAAAAGGTGCCAGGTTCTCAAACTACAGGCTAGACCTACCTAGTATTCTTGTTCCCTCGGCCGATAGAGTCGGCCCAGAAGAGACCAAACCTCATCTGATGCCAAACCGTGCCGTGATCAAGTCTTGGCGTCAGTCTTGGCGTGAAAGCTTTGTTTTAACCTCTTCCACCTTGCTCCGATCGATCCAGATCCAAGTAGTCTTTCCCACAGTTGTATCCGACAGTTTAATTTTGAGCCTCTTAAAACTCTAAGTAAGCATGAATACGACCTGGGAACTGATGCAATTCCTTTGCATGACACAAGGTTAAAACAACCCGAGTTTTTGCACTATCACCCCATCGGTCTGTACGCTGATTGAGTGATACAGCATAAGAACAGCACAGATCGACGGTGAAAAAGGAGACAAAAAGGACTGATAATTATCACAGTACAGATGGCCTGGTCTCATTACCGATCTGTATGTCTTGAAAATCAGTCATCAATTTTCCAAGTATCATGGCGCATCTGTAGCTGTACCAAGGTCGATGAATTTAATACGTAAAATGCACCCACGATGGACCAACAAAATTGCTCTAAACAAACAAGATTGAAGGCTATCATGGAGGACCTGACTCAATCCTTAGGCTAAACCTGTTATATTTGGAAACCCCATTTTTGCTTGACTATGACCCTGCCCTCAATTGATGCTGGTAGAAATAACACTTTTGGAATAGCAATCCGGCCCCTGTAGAAATCAACTTGCACCCATCCTAGTGGGTAGTAGAAATAATGGCCCTCTCAAGTCTTAGGGTATAGAAGTTAAGTAGTCTAAGAACCATAGTCTAAGGAGTATAAAGTGACCTATTAATTTCGTCTCTTATGCTTCCAGCGGTCAATTTTTCTGACACTGAGGGTCATCTTTGTCGACTAAGTATGTGTAGGGTAGGTAAAACTGACCCCACACCTGTTCTGGAGATCTCAATGCGATTTCCCCCACCATTGACCTCCACCCCACCCCGTTGGAGCCTAGCAGCAGGTAGCTGCTCATGACAATCCACCAAACCACACGTCAAGTTACAGCTCTCTGCATCTCTAATTGTTTTATAGGTACACTGGATGCTCTGTAGATCAGCTCTACACCCATAATGTCCGAATCAAACTCTCTTCTGGCCTTCTTCAGCCAGCAAAGCAACACGGGCGGCATCATTGTCAAAGGTACGTTCAACGAATGTCGCCAGTGTCGTGAACCATCATTCAAGCACACTCTTGAGAAAGCTGTGCTAACTGTCTGCAAGAGCAACCCAAACTCGACCTCGACCTCTACATCTCGAACTACACCGGTCCGTTACTACGCCGCTATCGATGTCATACCGACATGACCACTAAACTTGTCTAGGTCGAACGAGAATCGATCGTCTCATACAAATCGGAAAGTCATCAGTGCCGCTATGCATCGATGCGCTCAAGCTCGCCATAGCCGAGGCAAAGAAGGGCTCGGATGTATCGCAATACGGCGAAGCTTGGAATTGTCTCCGTACTGCGGCACCTCAAGAGCCAGAGGCTCAACTCGAAACAGAATGGGTCGATCGAGTTGAACGTGAGAACAAAGCCGAGACCGCACGTCTCGAATCTCAACTTAAGCAGTACCGTCACAACTTGATCAAAGAAAGCATTCGAGTGCGTTATGAAACCTTAATATCGCGGTTGAAAGTTCTGACACAGCTCTAGATGGGCAACGAAGACTTGGGGCAGCATTTTGAGAAAACAGGGAATCTGGAAGCGGCAGCCGAAGCGTACAATCGCATGCGACAGGACGTCACAACCACCAAGCATATTATCGACTGCGGCATACACCTAGTCAATGTTTACATCGCCAGGCGTGACTGGACCATGGTACTCAACAACCTTGGGAAGATCATCGGCGTTCAGAGCGGCGAAGAGGAACGAATCTACCAACCTTATACGAAGCTTGTATCCGGTATCGCGCTCCTCGGGCTGAAGCACTATAAAGAGGCCGCCAACTCCTTTCTTCAAGTTGACTTCAGCCTGCCTCCAGCGCAATACAACCACATCGCCAGCCCTAACGACATGGCAGTGTACGGAGGGTTACTTGCTCTGGCAACTATGGAGAGGGACGAACTCCAGACTCGACTGTTGGACAACCAATCATTCCGTTCGTTCCTGGAGAATGAGTCACACATCCGCAAGGCCATCAGCCTATTTGTTAATGGTAGATATTCAAACTGTTTGGCCATTCTCGAATCTGTTCGAAACGACTATTTACTCGACATTTACCTGCAGCGCCACATCCCTACGCTTTACTCACAGATTCGTAACAAGTGCATCGTCCAGTACTTCATTCCATTCTCGTGTGTTACCCTTGAGAGCTTGAATAAGGCATTTGCATCAGAAGGGGAGTCGGTTGAAACAGAACTTGTAACCATGATCCGCGAGGGAACTCTCAAGGCCCACCTTGATGCAAAGAACAAAGTGAGTATTATTGCTTCTAATCTAATTACATACACTAATTCATCATAGTTGCTTATTGCTGTTCAGCCCAATCCTCGGCTTGAGATGCAAAAGCAGGCCCTTGACGTCTCTCGCCAGTACGAGCAAGAGGCGAAGGACAGGCTTCGTCGCATGAACATCATTGCTGCTGGTCTGGAAATTGTTGGTAAGAGACAACAGCATTCCGGTCAAGCCGGTCGTGGAATCGACGAGCAGTGGTACGATGATGCCAGAGCATCTGTTCAGCAAAACAAAGTTGAAGAGGATCAGTGATTCAGCAGCTCTTGAGAAAGTTGAGTCCCCGTAGAATTAGGCGGGTTTACGAACAAATGAACGGCATATCGCATTATGGCCTAGGCGTTGGTGTTTCCTGATTATAACTATCCGCAAGGACGCGGAAGCACTGTGTGGCAGATTAGATCAGGCGTCCAGGGACATACATATTTTATTTCAAATAGAATGCTCTTCACACAATGACTAGGTGCACATTTGTTCGTTTATGTTTAAGGGGGTATCATTGTTAAACCTCAAAATCGCTTCTGACTTGCTACCTTCTCCTGCCACCAACTTTCCTTAGCCCATCAACTGCCGCAAGTCTGTGGGCGGCCAGCGAACTTGTGCGAATGTGAGACAGCGCTTGATGCTTTGCAGATATTTGCGCGTAACCTCGTCACCCATGACATGACCCTTCTCACCATCGTGTAGCTTCTCTCGAGCGCTACGCTCGTGAATACCAACCATAGTAACACCAATGGGCCACGCTGCATTTCCGATACTCAGACGCAGATATCCATCATTGGCATCCACGTAACGGCGCTCCTGAAGAGCTTGGACGATCTCTATAACAGGCTTGAGGATATCATCGTCAAGCTCTCCCTGTTCGAATTTGCGGAAAAGCTAGGCAAAGTTAGTTTCGATATTTTAGTAGAAGTTGATGTATTTCAACATACCGGCTTCATATTCTCTCGGGTCTGCACCATCGCATTGTATGCTGTTTTGCCAGCAGTCGTATCCCGCTTCTCTGCTTCCATGGCACGCTCGTATTCCGTAAGAACCATAGTAAAGTAGCTCGCCAGTTGCCGGAACAGCCATTTTCTGCCCTCCTTGTCCTTTGGTAGCTCGCTGTTGACCTTCATATCCTTCTCTTCCACAAGCTCCAACGTTGTCGGTATAGGGCCCTTGGTGACCACTGTTGTCAACCTGCGGTATCGTCTCACTCGTGCAGCATGACTCTCCCCGAACAAGGCCACCGGCTCACCAAGAGCCCTTAGCTTCTCGACAAGTTCATCTTCAAGAACATCCTCACTCGCGTGAACACCATCTTCAATATCTTCGCTCTTGGCCTTTACCAGCTCTGGTAAACCAAGTCGCTTCCTTCGAGCACGCTCTTCCTCGGCTTCTTTCTCTTCGCGCCTCTTTCTCATTTCCTCTGCAAGTTTGCGACGCTTCTCATCGCGCACGGCAGTCTCGACAGCCGCGTCTTCCTCTCGTTTACGTTTTGCGGCGGCTTTTGCTTGACGCTCGGCCTCGAGAGCTTTTTGTTCTGCGAGATAGGCTTCTTTCCTTTGCGCTTCGATTTCTGAGCGCTTCAGGTACTTCTTTTCGTCGTTTCCGGAGCCGCCCTTCTTGGCCTTCGAGAGCTCCTTGTTCATCATCGCCGCGAAATCCATGGTGAAGATAAACAGTGTTCTGCTGATATGTTGATGCCGATTTAAACGAAGAAATTGAATTGACGACTCGGCTTATTTTGATATTCTTTTCTTGATTTCAAGTTGCTTGGATTGGTTGATGGTTGTAGACTTGTCGCAAACTGCTAGAGTTCAAATTGTTGATCAATTACGGATATAGCGATATCGGCTAACCGAGATACAGCCAGCTCTGACGAATGCTGCTCCCATCACCTGCGATTCTGCAACTAACAGCAGATCTCGTTTCAATACACTATCTAATTTAATAATTTTTTGATATACTATTAACATTCTCATAAAAATGGCATCTCCTTTGCTAAAATCGGTGCGCGAAAATACAACGCCCTTCTTGTTACAGCTCTTCTATCGCACGGGAGCTCTTCACAGGTACTCATGTTTACTCTCATAATAATACTCTTACAAGTAATACTTATATATTTGTACTAGAGCAGATGAGTTTCAGTCGCAGAGTCTCCCTCCGCACATTTCTGTGTATACGTGGTCGGATTGTACTCTTCAAGAGTTGGCATTGGATCTCGCCGCTACCAAACCTTCAGCCTTCCCATCACCTTCAGTGGGATGCCGTTTAGTATTCCAGCTGGTGTTTCCGGATCTTCGTAACACAGCCACAGTACCAAACTCACCTCCTCGCTTTGGGGCTAAGGACCTCGGTAGTGTTGTGATAGGTGGTGACTCTAGTTCGGGTGCACCTGGGGATATCTCCATGAACGTGGCAGCAAAAGGTTCTGACGACAAACATAAAACACTCAGCGGTGCCCGGTTCGTAGTTGGTGATTATATCACTTGCGCCATACTGCCGCCGCTCCCAGATGGTTTAGTGGCACCCGTTTCAAGTGTGAGAAGCGAGCAGGCTTCGGGTTCGCATGAAAGGGGACACGGCATTTCCGGTCGCAGAGGCTCTAAGGGAAGCCGAGGCGACTGGAGAGACGAGGTTGGAGGAGACTTCCCCATGGGCGAATGGAGAAGGGGTGAAAGATTACCAGATGCCCTTGGTGGGAGACCGAAAGGCAGAGGGAGGTGGTAGGGACATACAGCGCTCATTTTGATGGTGTCACGTCTAATTATACCCATTTCTCATCCGATAAAAAGAAATTTCACAGTCCGGCCACGGCTTGTTCATGTTTGGCCTCGTTTTAATTGAATCTCTACCGCGGGCTCTATCCCAGGTATGACGCTTTAAATGTACACATCCCAAATCTCCGATTCTCGTTCGATTTATTTCTCGTAGACGAGGTCGCCCTTTCGCTTCGCCCTGAAGTCCCAAAGCCCCTTAGAAAGTCAGCATTTTGATGGTCGTCGCGGCTGCTACTGCCAGACTTACGTCGGTCTTGTAGGCAATGTAGCCCATGATGGCGGGGATCACACCAACGTAGATGAAGGTGATCTTGGCGGTTCGGGGCGTCCATCGGAAGTAGTGATGACGCGACTTCATCATAGCTATTCATGTTGTTAGAATGAACTCGGATTGAGGGCGATCAATGTCGAAGTCGAGGAGAAGTCACGCACCCGCATATTTGAGGTAGGCCGGGTCCGGCTTGACGTCTGTGAAACGGCGGTTAGCAGAACTCGATACTCTGGCATTTCTCTCAACCTACTAAGGTGCGCCATTTTGATTGACGGCGATTGGTGTCTTGCTTAGGTGGTTCGAGTGACGAATTGGCCGTCGTAATGGTCGGTTTGAATGATGGTTAACCTCGACGACGAATTGAAGCTTCTAGGCTGACTAAGGCAGTATCTCAATTGTATGGTCTCTGATTGGATGAACGTCTAAGACTTCTCGAAGTTGCTACCCTAAACCGCCTGTCTGGAAGCTTGACCTAGGGGTACCAGAACAAAATAGACCACTGGAAGCATAAGAGACGGAATTAGTAGGTCAGTTTATATTCCTTAGACTATAGTTTTTTAGACCATTTATTTTTATACTCTAAGACTTAGGCAGCCAACTTTTGTTCAAGAACCTCAAAACTCACAGACCTATGGGCCATGATCCGTGTATGGCACAATTATAGGTGTTCCATTTTTACTTGCGTAGTTTGCAAGATAGTAGAAAAGTGACTAATAACATTAAAGTGTATGTAAGTCCAGATAGTCAGTATAAGCTTACTAATTTTAACTCTTGTTATACTTCCAGTGCCTTATTACTTTATACCTTAGATATGTTAGTACCAGCGAACTGACAAAAGTGAGACGTCCCTTAGCTCGCATCAATTAAGTAGGTACACGGTCGTGGGAACGTAGGGACTGAAAGAAGTCCAGATGGAAAGCTTGGTGCTCTTAGACTATGTCCTCACTAAAACTGATCTAATATTTATTTCATGACTATAAGCTGCACGCTTTTCGAGGTCATTATAGGACAACCCCATCATATTTCATGACTTATACACCAGACTGATACAAAGTCACGTGAGTAGATCAACGCGTCTTCTATGCTAGTCACGTGGATGGACCCACCAATCGCGTCTTCCCCAGAATTTGCCGTGGCGACAGCTTCACGATCTTTTACTATCTACAGAACATCAAGCAATCATGCAACCACCACCTCCTCCCCCAGGCTGGGGAAATCCTCCTCCTCCTCCTCCTCCTCCTCCTGAATCTCAAGCGCCTCCCCCTCCTCAAACACCTGCTCCTCCGCCTCCTCCCCCTTCTTCGTTACCATCAACGGCGACACCGGCATTTCATACTGCGAAGTTTGCGCAAAAGAAGAAAGAATGGGTTAAATCACAGCGTAATCGCTTTGGCGAGAAGCGCAAGGGTGGATTTGTACAGACACAGAAAGCTGATATGCCGCCTGAACATCTACGGAAGATCGTAAAGGATATTGGTGATGTTTCGCAAAAGAAGTATACAAACGACAAGCGCAGTTATCTCGGAGCCCTTAAGTTTATGCCACATGCGGTCCTTAAACTTCTCGAAAATATGCCTATGCCATGGGAGTCGGCTCGCGAGGTCAAGGTGCTTTACCATGTCAATGGCTGTCTGACTCTAGTCAACGAGATTCCCCGAGTAATCGAGCCAGTCTTTTTTGCGCAATGGGCGATGATGTGGACATTTATGCGAAAGGAGAAGGCCGATAGACGACTATTCAAGCGCATGCGATTTCCACCTTTCGATGATGAAGAGCCTCCTCTGTCGTGGGCTGAGAACCTGGAGGATGTTGAGCCTCTTGAGCCGATTCAAATGGAACTGGATGAAGAGGATGATGAGGCCGTGTACGAATGGTTCTACGACCACAGGCCTCTCCTCGACACACCGCATGTGAACGGACCAAGTTACAAATCTTGGAATCTTACGCTCCCCCAGATGGCGACTCTATTCCGTCTGAGTCGGCCTCTTGTCTCTGATGTTGTCGACAAGAACTATTTCTACCTTTTCGACCTCAAGAGTTTGCTATCGGCCAAGGCCCTTAATGTCGCCCTCCCAGGTGGACCTCGCTTTGAGCCTTTATACAAGGATATCGACCCCAACGACGAGGATTTCGGCGAGTTCAATGCTATCGATCGCATCATTTTCCGAAATCCCATCCGAACCGAGTTCCGAGTTGCGTACCCTTACCTTTATAATTCGTTACCGAGAAGTGTTCACCTATCATGGCACTCTCATCCTCAAGTTGTCTTCAACCGAGCAGACGATCCTGATTTGCCGACGTTCCATTTCGATCGCCGCATCAACCCTATATCTTCGCGAACCGTTGCGCCAAAGAATGTTGAAGTTTCTCACGAGGACGAAATTTTCGGTGCCGGTAACATTGAGGAACCTGAAGAGGACGCTTTCGAGCTTCCTGCTGGAGTCGAGCCATTCCTTGCCGACGAGGATATCGAGAACGACGATACATCATCCGCCGTTGATCTCTGGTGGGCCCCATACCCCTTTGACCGGCGATCTGGACGTATGGTACGAGCACAAGACGTGCCGCTCGTAAAACAGTGGTACCTTGAGCATCCTCCATCCGACCGACCTCCTGTCAAGGTTCGAGTTTCATATCAAAAACTTCTAAAGAACTTCGTTCTCAACGATCTTCACAAGAAGAAACCTAAGGCACAGAACAAGCAGAACTTGATGCGATCCCTCAAACAAACCAAGTTCTTCCAGCAAACTTCCATCGATTGGGTTGAGGCTGGTCTGCAAGTCTGTCGCCAGGGCTTCAACATGCTTAACCTCCTTATTCACCGCAAAAACTTGACTTACCTTCACCTGGATTACAACTTTAATTTGAAGCCCGTCAAGACCTTAACTACAAAGGAGCGCAAGAAATCCCGTTTCGGAAATGCTTTCCACTTGATGCGAGAGATTTTGAGATTGACCAAGCTCATTGTTGATGCTCAGGTACAGTACAGATTGGGTAACATTGATGCCTTCCAGTTGGCAGACGGTATTTTGTACGCCTTCAACCACGTCGGTCAGCTTACGGGTATGTACCGATACAAGTACAAGCTGATGCATCAGATTCGAACTTGCAAGGATCTGAAGCATCTCATTTACTACCGTTTTAACTCTGGCCCTGTCGGTAAGGGTCCAGGCTGCGGTTTCTGGGCTCCTGCTTGGAGGGTCTGGCTCTTTTTCATGCGAGGTATTATTCCTTTGCTTGAGAGATGGCTTGGAAACCTCCTATCTCGTCAGTTTGAAGGTAGACACAGCAAGGGAGTTGCAAAGACTGTTACCAAACAGCGTGTCGAGTCTCACTTTGATCTGGAGCTTCGAGCTTCTGTTATGGCTGATCTTATGGACATGATGCCCGAGGGTATCAAACAGAACAAGGTCAACACTGTTCTTCAGCATCTTTCTGAGGCATGGAGATGCTGGAAGAGTAACATTCCCTGGAAGGTCCCTGGCTTGCCTGCACCTATCGAGAACATTATTCTTCGATATGTCAAGTCTAAGGCGGATTGGTGGGTTTCGGTCGCTCATTACAACCGTGAGCGTATTCGACGAGGAGCCACTGTCGATAAGACCATTGCGAAGAAGAATGTTGGTCGTCTGACAAGACTTTGGCTTAAGGCCGAGCAGGAGCGTCAGCACAACCACATGAAGGATGGTCCTTATGTCTCCTCGGAGGAAGCTGTTGCCATCTATACTACTACCGTACACTGGCTCGAGTCCCGCAAGTTCTCACCTATTCCCTTCCCCAGCGTTTCCTACAAGCACGACACCAAAATTCTCATCCTTGCCCTTGAGCGTCTTCGGGAGGCTTATTCAGTTAAGGGACGCCTCAACCAAAGCCAACGAGAGGAGCTGGGTTTGATTGAGCAGGCATATGATAGCCCTGGCACAGCATTGGAAAGTATCAAGCGCGCCCTTCTCACTCAGCGAGCTTTCAAGGAAGTCAAGATTGATATGAACGACAACTACAGCACGATCAACCCTGTTTATGACATTGAACCCATCGAGAAAATCACCGACGCTTACCTTGACCAGTACCTCTGGTACCAAGCAGATCAGCGACATCTCTTCCCTGCCTGGATTAAACCTTCAGATTCCGAAGTCCCACCCCTTCTCGTCTACAAGTGGGCTCAAGGTATCAACAACCTTGATGGCGTCTGGCAGACTGAGAACGGCGAGTGCAACGTTATGATTGAGACAGAGCTATCCAAGGTGTACGAGAAGATGGAGCTTACACTTCTCAACTCTCTCCTGAGATTGATCATGGACCACAACCTGGCAGATTACATCACAGCCAAGAACAACGTTCAGCTTACCTACAAGGATATGAACCATGTCAACAGTTATGGTATGATTCGTGGCCTGCAGTTCTCTGCATTCGTGTTCCAATTCTATGGTCTTGTATTGGATCTTCTCCTGCTTGGGCCTCAGCGAGCCAGTGAGATTGCCGGTCCGCCTCAGAGCCCCAACGAATTCTTGCAGTTCCGCGACCGTGAGACTGAGTCGGGCCATCCCATTCGACTCTATACCCGTTACGTTGATAAAATCTGGATCATGCTTCGATTCACTGCTGAGGAATCCAGAGATCTCATCCAACGATTCCTCACTGAGCAACCTGACCCCAACTTTGAGAATGTCATCGGGTACAAGAGCAAGAAGTGCTGGCCCAGAGATTCTCGTATGCGCTTGATGCGTCACGATGTTAACCTCGGACGAGCTGTCTTCTGGGACTTGAAGAACCGTCTTCCTCGATCTGTGACAACGATTGATTGGGATGATAGCTTTGTTAGTGTTTACAGTCGTGACAACCCGAACTTGCTGTTTTCTATGTGCGGCTTTGAGGTCCGCATTCTCCCCAAGATTCGAAACCAGAACGAGGAGTTCCCGGTCAAGGACAGCGTTTGGTCTCTTGTGGACAACACCACCAAAGAAAGGACAGCCCACGCTTTCCTGCAAGTTACCGAGGAGGATATTCAAAAGTTCAACAATCGCATTCGACAAATCCTTATGTCATCAGGTTCCACTACGTTCACCAAGATTGCGAACAAATGGAACACTGCGTTGATTGCTCTCTTCACCTACTACCGCGAAGCCGCTGTTTCCACAGTCGACTTGCTTGACACTATTGTCAAATGCGAGACCAAGATTCAAACTCGAGTCAAGATAGGCTTGAATTCCAAGATGCCTTCTCGCTTCCCTCCTGCAGTCTTCTACACGCCCAAGGAACTTGGTGGTCTTGGTATGATTTCGGGTTCTCATATTTTGATTCCTGCCAGCGACAAGCGCTGGTCAAAGCAAACCGACACTGGTGTTACTCATTACAGGGCAGGAATGACCCACGATGAGGAGACCCTCATTCCGAACATTTTCCGATACATCATCCCTTGGGAGGCCGAGTTCATTGACTCGCAACGCGTCTGGACAGAATATTCTCAGAAGAGATTAGAAGCCAACCAACAGAATCGTCGTCTTACTCTTGAAGATCTCGAGGATAGCTGGGATCGCGGTCTTCCCCGAATCAACACGTTGTTCCAAAAGGATCGAAGCACCCTGAGCTTCGACAAGGGTTTCCGAGCACGAGCTGAATTCAAGATTTATCAATTAATGAAAAACAATCCTTTCTGGTGGACTAGTCAACGTCACGACGGAAAATTGTGGAACCTGAACGCGTACCGAACCGATGTTATCCAGGCGTTGGGTGGTGTTGAGACCATTCTTGAACACACCCTCTTCAAAGCAACAGGATTTCCATCATGGGAAGGCCTATTCTGGGAAAAAGCGAGCGGTTTCGAGGAATCCATGAAGTTCAAAAAGTTGACAAATGCTCAACGTTCGGGATTGAACCAAATTCCAAATCGTCGCTTCACTCTGTGGTGGTCACCCACCATTAACAGAGCCAACGTCTATGTCGGTTTCCAAGTCCAGCTTGATTTGACAGGCATTTTCTTGCACGGAAAGATTCCTACTCTCAAAATTTCTTTGATCCAGATCTTCCGGGCTCATTTGTGGCAGAAAATCCATGAGTCGGTTGTTATGGATCTTTGTCAGGTATTTGACCAGGAACTTGAATCTTTGGGCATTGAGACTGTTCAGAAGGAGACAATTCACCCTCGAAAGTCTTACAAGATGAACAGTTCTTGCGCCGATATTCTCTTATTCTCCAACCATAAGTGGAACGTTACCCGACCTTCTCTGCTCTACGACACCAAGGACGTGATTGAGCAAACAACCACTAACAAATTCTGGGTTGATGTCCAGCTCCGATATGGCGATTACGACTCTCATGACATTGAACGATACACGCGAGCCAAGTACCTCGATTACACCACTGACAGTGCCAGTATTTACCCTTCGGCTACTGGTCTCATGGTTGGTATTGATCTTGCCTACAACCTTTATTCTGCCTACGGCATGTACTTCCCTGGTCTTAAGGTACTCGTTCAGCAGGCCATGGCCAAGATCATGAAGGCCAACCCTGCTCTGTATGTCCTTCGCGAGCGTATTCGAAAGGGTCTGCAGCTTTATGCTTCTGAGAGTAACCAAGAGTTCTTGAACTCGCAGAACTACTCAGAACTATTTAGCAACCAGACGCAGCTATTTATCGATGATACCAACGTCTATCGTGTCACGATCCACAAGACGTTTGAGGGTAACTTGACAACCAAGCCCATCAATGGTGCTATCTTTATCTTCAACCCGCGAACTGGCCAGCTGTTCCTCAAGATCATCCATACCAGTGTTTGGGCTGGACAGAAGCGTCTTGGTCAACTTGCCAAGTGGAAGACTGCTGAGGAAGTCGCTGCCCTCATCCGCTCGTTGCCCGTAGAGGAGCAGCCCAAGCAGCTCATTGTGACGAGAAAGGGTCTTCTGGATCCTCTTGAAGTCCACTTGCTTGACTTTCCCAACATTTCTATCCGAGCGTCCGAGTTACAGCTTCCTTTCCAGGCGGCTATGAAGGTCGAAAAGCTTGGTGACATGATTCTGCGCGCTAAGCAACCTCAGATGGTGCTGTTCAACCTGTACGATGAGTGGCTGAAGAGCATTTCTTCGTACACTGCCTTCTCTCGTCTCGTTCTTATTCTGCGTGCGCTCCACGTTAATCCGGACAAGACAAAACTTGTTCTCCGTCCTGACAAGACCGTCATTACGCACGAACATCACATCTGGCCATCGCTGTCAGATGAGGACTGGATCAAGGTTGAAACGCAGCTCCGAGATCTCATTTTGAATGACTATGGAAAGAAGAACAATGTCAACGTCTCGAGTCTAACAACCAGCGAAGTGCGAGATATTATCTTGGGTATGGAGATTTCAGCGCCTTCCATGCAGCGACAGCAGGCTGCCGAGATCGAGAAGCAGCAGCAGGAACAGGCGCAGTTGACAGCGGTCACAACCAAGACTCAGAATGTTCACGGAGAGGAGATCATTGTGACGACTACATCACAATTCGAACAGCAAACCTTCGCTTCTAAGACAGAGTGGCGAACACGAGCCATTGCTACATCCAACTTGCGCACACGAGCGAAGAACATTTACGTCTCATCTGTCGACAACGACCTTGACGACATCACCTATGTTATGCCTAACAACATTCTGAAGCGCTTCATTACAATTGCAGACCTTAGGGTGCAGGTTGCTGGCTACTTGTACGGCTCTTCAGCACCCGACAACGATCAGGTCAAGGAGATCAAATGTATCGTCATGATTCCGCAGATTGGTGGACTTCGCAACGTGCAGCTGCCACAGCAACTCCCCCAGAGCGAATTCCTCGAGGGCATGGAGCCTTTGGGCGTCATTCACACTGTCTCTGGTGGCGAGCTGCCTTATATGTCCGCCGTGGATGTTACCGAGCACTCCAAGCTCCTGGATGCGCATAACGAGTGGGACAAGACCAACACTGTGACGGTTTCTGTCGCATTCACTCCAGGCAGTGTATCTCTGTCGGCTTGGGGACTTACACCAGACGGCTACAAGTGGGGAGCCGAGAACAAGGACACGCAAAGCGATCAGCCGCAGGGCTTTGCTACAACGATGGGTGAGAAGCGCAAGTTGCTGCTCAGCCCACGATTTAGAGGATTCTTCCTTGTGCCGGATGATGGCAAGTGGAACTACAGTTTCATGGGTAATGCCTTTGACGGTATGCAAAAGAAGCCGTATCACGTCAAGCTCGATACACCGCTGCCATTCTACAGCGACCAGCACCGATCTGTGCACTTCCACAGCTTTGCAGAATTGGAGGATATCTGGGTGGATCGATCGGATAACTTTGCTTAATCAAAATGGGTAATAATGGGCGTTCAGTCGCGTTTTCTGTAATTAATTAGTTATTTCCGACGTGTATTTATGATGATAGTCAACGAGGTCTGGTCTAAATATCATAAGCTGACCCACCAATTTCGTCTCTTATGCTCCTAGCGACCAACTGCTCTGATTCCCTAAGGCCCCTTCTCTCGGTGCAATACGAGGACATGGTTATCAGTAACACATGCTTTATGTCACCCTCATGCCCAGTGACATGTCGGGGGGGAAGCACTTCTAACTCGCGAAGTGTATTAAGCAGCGTATCTACTTACACCCGACGTTGTAGATGTATTAGAATGCATGGTGATTTCGTCAATTGGTTGCTCCTGTTCATCGTCCTGCAGGTCGCCATAGGCATGGCAACCGGTCTGTAATCGAATATGAAGGTGTCCCTCTTTTGGCTCCTCTTCATCGTCATCCTCATTGGGTTTGCTGGTGATATCAACAAGGCCGAGGTCAATGTTACCAATCTCGTCATCATTATCGGCGATATTGCTGTCGCTAACCTCATCAGAGTTATCAATCTGAGAATCCCCTACAATACCCATGAACTTATCATCTGATCTTAATTCAGAGAGGGCATTAGGGGGGATAGACTTGACTAGCGAGGAGCTGTGTTCGTCGAAAACTAATGAACACGCAAATGAAGAGCCCAGATTAGGCATATAGTCGCCAGTCCGACGTCGGCGAGGAGAAACTGGAGCAAAACTAAGAGGGCTGCTTATGAGGTGCTTCGATGTCTTTGTACCTGAATTTCCCCCTAAAGTCGGCAGCTCTTGAGAAGGTTCGCGCTGCTCACCTGGACGACACCATATGCGGGCCTCTGCAGCCTTCTGATTTGGTTGGAATGTCCAGCCTGCCTGAAGACGCTGTTGGATAATCGTCTGTCGCGCTTGGCGTTTAGCAGGACGGATAACAGGCTTTGATGTGGTTTCGGGGATTGGCCGGTCAGCTAAACGCGTCCGTCCAACTGTAGCATGATTCAACCCTTTATGCCAGACAGGATGAAGGTCCAATTCTGCAGCATGCTGGATAAGGAAGTCTCTGATTTCAGCTTCATGATTATTAGATATAGTTGTTGAGCAGCGTGTTCCATCGCCGAACCAAAGGCCCAAGAAGTAAGGGTTGACAGGCACCTCTTGTTTAGGCTCCTTGCGACCCAAAGTTAGTGAGTAGCTTTAGGATAAAAATAAACAACCTAAAAGACCCATCTAAATATTATAAATTGGCTTACTGATTTCGTCTCTTATGCTTCTAGCGGCAACTGTTCTGATACCACTCCGCCGCTGCGTAGGGGATAGTATAAGCGTTGTGGATTGCCCCAGCGAACTGCCGCTTAGGTCACGACGTTGGATACACGTCTTGAGCCGCCGTCGGAGCCCAACAGGAGGTCACCGTCCTTGACATCCCCAACGAGGACCTCAAAACGGTCAAATCTAGGGAGCCTCGTGCCATTCGCAAGGCACGCTTCAAGGTGAAATGAGCGTTGTTGATTAAGCTGAGTTCTCCCCACGAAGCCTGGCCTCAGTGGACCATTAGCTAGCGCCAATTAACCGATGTTTCACCTTCGCCTTGCCAGACATCACAGCAAATGCCAGCAGACAATCTAAACAACAAATACCTCTCTAGGCAATAGGTTTATTCAACAATCTTGTAATCAATCCTCATGATGTCAGCTAACTTACACTCAAGGCATAAGAGAAGTCGCCAAACTAAACACCTACCTTTTGGTAGGTTTTTATAATTTCCAAAGTCTAAGATAGCTGTAGAAAAGCAATGTTTAACAACTAAAGAGACAGCTAGTTAATCACGTCCTTACTTTCTGAAGGGCTTGCTTTTCTAACACTCTATAGAGTGCACATTCATATTGAAGCCTGAAGTATTAGGCCTATGTAGCCCCATATGCAATACCACTTTCTCAACAAGACCTAATTGCCTGTGCCTTCTTCCCTTCCTCCCCCACTCATCATCTAGACTAGGTCCCTAGGTGTGACATCAAGTGCCTTATTTTTATGCGACTTCAAATAGTAACGCGCCTGCGAGCTCGATACCTATTTTCCCTACTTTTGTACTCTGGCAGTGCGCTTTTGGATCCTAACCTATATATACCGATAGGAGCTAATAAAGCCTATATATAGTTCTAGCTATGCAGAATATACACAACGACCTAGACGTCAGCGAGCATGACGAAAACGCAGGCGATGAAGGTCGCTCTAGCTCAGGCGATCTCGTTGGAATTTCCGACGCAGATAGTAGTGAAGGTGATGCCTCAGTTTCTGAATCCAACCTACCGTTTTCCTAGGAGGATTCGGAGGACGTCGACGAAATAGTTCCAAGCGAGAACACTCACGCCTTCATCAGGGTTTTCAACCGACCAGCAGTGGGAGACAAGCAGTGGAATCGCACAGATGCCATCCGGTACCTCAAGTACGAGTTCTGGCTTGTGGATTCGGGCTCGGGAGGAAGCTGGCCCTCATTCCTCAAGGACTTGGATGCCTTGCGTATCCGGAAGGATCGCCCTCGCCACGGCTTATACCTTGAATTTTATTATCTGGTCCACAAGCACTATGATGAAGTTGAAGCAAGCGACCAACAGATGACCGCATCCGACAACAGCACTACCCGCGAAGCCAGGGGTGCCCTTAGGAACACCGTAATTGCATGGTTTAACGGGGGTTGGCGTGAAGACCAACAAACTGTCCGACACCAACGGAGCCTACTGCCATCACAGGCTGAGATGATGGTCTCGAAATTCATTGACCCATACGGTGATATGGATGGCATAATTGTTGGGACGGCAGCCAGTCTCGGTTTAATGCACCTCTTCAGCATTGATGGAGGTGTAGATGCGCAGACAGATGTCGAATCCGACCGGCCAACTGCTGCAATTGCAAACACGATGGCTGCTCAAACCGAGCAGCAGATCGCGGACGTAGCGAGGACACTTTGGACATCAGTAAGGATTTGCACAGAATCAGCCAACCGCATTCCGCAATTAGCAGCAAAGCACTCAAGGTGGCAGCCCACGCATAGGCACTTTGCAAACACTTGAAGCACTCAGCCGAATATACCCACTCGACCGGACATCTTCGCCATGGACCATACTGCCACTGCAACTCGCAAGCACACAGCCCCAGGCGACAGTTCTGCGGTCAAGAGTGTCCGGGAGGATGATTTTTCTTTTTTCTTTTTTCTTTTTTCTTTTTTCTTTTTTCTTTTTTCTTTTTTCTTTTTTCTTTTTTCTTTTTTCTTTTTTCTTTTAGCAAGTAGGGACTAGGGTTCGGGTTGAGATTTTTAATGGCAGGAGCGAAGGACAGCATGGGATGGCATTCAAACAAGTCTTTTAGCTGTAGCGTTTGAGGCAACGCTGGTACCAGGAGGCAAAGTTTTTTACCCGCGCATGTAATTTGGCAAATCGTTATTGAGCGCATCCATCGGGGTGATGGAAGGTTGCTTTCTATCGAGAGCACTGTTGCATGATAGCACGGAATACATCAATGAACAGCTGTGGGCCATTTCCTACTCAATAAGAAGAATGATTTTATTGCAGCTCAATTCCGAAAGAACCAATATAGCGAGAGTGATGGATGTGGTTTGTGCGGGTTGAATTTGCTGGCAGCTGCCTAGCAGCTGTTGTCAGTGAATCACAGATGTTACATTTCCATGTCTATCAATTACGTGGGCGTCGTCGCCCTTACTCTCTTCGTTTCCTTTTCCCTTCTCTAACCAAACTCACATCCCTTTCAACTCGCAAAGATGCGCTAAACAATTATAGTATCACAAATCTCACCGTACGCGCACCTGGTCTGGCTTGCCGTATTCAGAAACCAACTCTGCGTAAGTTTTCTATACATTTTTATCATCCCATGGTGCATGTGTTGGATCTGGCTTGCCGTACTTGAAAACTAACTTGGTAGGAATCAATAGTTCCCTGGCCTACCAGAGGTATCTTGTGTCTAGGTACTTCACATAATGGACGACAAGTTCAATGCCGGGAAGGCTGGTGTTGACGAACTCATCACCAACTGGATTAATGATTCAACTGATGCTGCCTCTACACCTCCTACTGAAGATGGGGAATATCAAGACTCGGGGGTAGAGTCTGATGCAAGCGAGTCGGAGCTACATCTGTCTTTGGAACTGAATACAGATGCTACTGGAACTCACGAAAGCTTCATGCATGCTAATGAGAACCTTGCGGAATTTGGGGGGATAGATATCGAAAGCTATCTCAACGAGAACAAGGAGACCTGGAAGAAGAGACCCAACAGCAATGACTGGAACACCATTCGAAATACAGGATCCAACACACACAAAACCTGGCCTATGAGTATGGCCATCGAGGCTGCATTCCGAGAGTTCAAAGCCAAAAATGCTGCGGTAAATGTCGACACCCACGAAATTCTTGAGGAAACCCACTTAACCTCGAACAAGTGGTATGTCACATCAGAAACCACTACTCGGACATCGAAGGGAAGAAGCGTGTTGTAAAGGGTTCTAGAGTGTATAACCCATTTGCAGGTGACAGCAGTCTGATCTGAACTGCGAAAGAGGCTTGTAAAAAGGCTCGTGCTGCATATTGGGATCCTATTGGGACTGCTGGAAAGCGCAACGTTCCCTGGGAAGCCATCCTTCCCTCACACGCTCAAATTCTGGCATGTAGGTTCTGCTCCAAAGACGGCTCAATGAACAGCACTATTGCAGGATGCCTTGGCCAACTTGGACGCGAAGACCTGATCGATGTCAATGTCAGAGTCTGCAACACCAGTGCTTCGTCCAGCCTTGAGACTGGTAAGCCGGCAGAGGTAATTACACAAGGAATGATAGACCTTGCGGCCGCCTTTCAACAAATGGCCGACAAAGCACTTGGAGCACCTAAAGGCACCGACACTTAAAGGCACCGACACTGGAACTTACGATGCGAAGATGAAGTGACTGGCCAGTGCACTGAAGGAAGTTCAGAACGCACAAAAAGGTCTCGAGACTACCTGCGCTATCAAATCTGTCGACAATGACGAGAGAATGGATAGTCTTCGTCGCCAAATCCAAAAAGTACAGAAGGATGTTACATCCCCCTTGCTTCCTGATCAGGTCGACGGGAGGGCCATCAAGAAAAAGACTATCAACTTCGCTCACTTCTCACCTGATGCTATCAATGGATTGCAGTCTGCGATGAGTGCGATTAACGCTAAAAAAGAGTGCATCCAGCGTTGAACCTGCGGTCCCTACTCAACCAGGTAAGCCTGGCATAGGAGCCCGTAGTGGAGGGACACAACTGCCTCATTCCCCGAAGCCCTCGATTCCAAAGCTATCGACTTCAAAGTCTGCTAAGTGAACTGGCTTAGGCCTGCCTAACCCGCCTACAAAGAAGACGAACAATGGAAAACAAGATTTTAGTGGCTCCTTCACTCTAGACGATCTCTTGGAGAGATGCAGAGACTTCAGGGGGGTTCGACAGGCATGTGAAATTACATGCGAGAGATGAAGCGGAGGGAAGATGGAAGTTAAAACGAGAAATTCGAGGCTTTGAGTGCTGAACTTGTATCGAGATCATAGGACAGACATGGTCGCCAGCACCTGTTACGTGACTGGTCAGTTATGTTTAAGACCTTAGTTAGATGTTCCTACAACTACACAGTAAAATTCGATGGTTTTAGCTTCATGTATTAGTGACTTGGTGATATATGAAAACCTTATATGAGAAAGCGATCTATTGTCATTCAGCGAGTTTTAACTGATGCGACCAGGTTAACCTCATCGAATCGAAATCACCCAGTGTGTTAGCAAGTTTTAGATATCTATTGAAAGTTATAAGAAGATAAATAGTAATTACATTGTGTCTTCAGGTGAGCTGATATTGGCATTCACCATCAGCAATCAAATTATGATGAAGTTGGAAAAAAGACGAGATAAGTCAGTGTCGCCAAAGCGGGCGACAGAAGACAACAAGGGTATGCATGGACGATGATCCACGTCGGTAGGTCGGTGGGCACTCTTCGGCGTTGCAAAAAACTTAATTCTACATATTTGGGGGATAAATAAAATAATTTGCGCATTTTATGCCGCCTTATACCCGGTCTTGGATTATTCGTTTTCTGTATCCCAAGCTTAGATCTTTAGCTACTGTCGAACTATCTATCTCATTGGTAAGAGGAGGAAAACTGTAAATGGGTGGATTGGGTTTAGACAGATGCAAGGACCCGAAAAAAGAATGATTAGCGGCTTCACCGAGGGCGTGGAAACGCGCCGCGAGCTGTCACCTGCATTGCGTGGGGGAGATTGAAATTGGCCATTTATGCATTCATGCAAATGTAAGCAGTGAAAAGAGCGGAATATTGGTTATCAAGACTTTAGTGTGCGGCGTAGAAGCATAAAGAATCTCGTGAATTTTAGGAAGGTCACGTTTATGTAGTGGGTAGATTGGGTAGCAAAAGCAAGTAATTGCCTCCTCTCACTGGAGGTTTTTTTTAGGTGTAAACTTAGGTTATAGGTGAGAGGCAAATATTTACATCACGTTCTGGAGATCTTTTCTCAACCATCGTCAATCAGGTGGGGGCAAAATGCAAATGCAAGCAAATGTAGTCATGGATGGACATGACATATTTTTGGCCTTGGAGTTTTTCCAGGGGTTGGGGTTAGGGGGGGTTGTCAAGATCTACGAGACACAACAGGCATTGCTGACGTAGATTTCTATTCTTATCAACCACAACCCTTGCCAATCCAACCCGTGTCACCTCCCCTGACAGTGACCCGCATACCTAGGTTTGTACCTGCGTAAATAATATGGATATTTACAAGGCCCTGTGGTTCGAGTGGACGATGGCGTCAAAATGCCTAGCCTGGCCTGTCCTGGCCTGTTCAGCAATATGGACGATCCCCCCAGAATTGGATCAAGGTGCCGAGACCTTATCAAATATCTTCCATTCCGGGAGTTGCACCTGTACGGTGGGTGTCCACTCCATTGCACAGGGCGTTTTTAGCTTCCGAGCCGTTGAGCCATTAAGTGGTTATCAGACTATTCGACAATGCGAGCTTGGACTTCGGCTCCGGATATAGTACAGTAGTAATACCTTACTAAGTGCTAAGAAGCTCCAAGCAAATGAATGGGTTTAGGGTATCCCATACAACTGCACAAGCTTCAACCTGTGAATTGACGGAACCTTTACCTTGGTTCCGTTAGTAGACAGGATACACCTGGATGTTTATAAACGGAGAGTACAATAAATTGATTAGAAACTTAAACTTTGCTGACCCTCATATCCGGACTACAATTGGATCAAAGCTTGTGAACTGCTGGAGCGTGATGAACATTATACACTGCCTGGTCTATATCAGCCTGGCAATCTTAGTGTTTCAAATATGGTCCAAAGTTTACCAAATATCGCTCCAATCTATCAGAGACTATATACCGTGATCTATCCGTGGATACAGTTTAGTTTACACTTGGTAAAACGTTTTTATTTTGTCATGACAGCTCGGTTGAATGATAATAAATTAATATCAATGCGTGTTATAGCTTAGTTTACGTAGTTGAATGTCCATTCCCTACCTAGATTAGGTTGCTGCGATCGTGGGGAAGCGATACTGTTGCATTCTAGGTCTAGTGGTCAATCGTTACGCTGTCGCTCACCTAAAGTGACCTAGTTGGGTGCCTTTCATACGGATACCTACACGGGCTTTGGGCGAATATCCATGTCTGCCTAGCGCTTGCCTTTTTGATATCTGGCAGTTTGCAGGAACCAACTTTGCTCTTTCTTCTTGACCGTCTTTTCGATCGAGTTTTACTGAATGCTCTTTCCTCACCTCTAAAACCGGGCAGTTTCCATTTTTGTCAGCCGATTTCCCCTGTCTTCCCCTCTTCCCCTCAGCCAAGCCACCAGTTTCTATTTGCATTGCCCCTTCACTCACGAATTTCCATCATATCAACCTATTACCACTTAAAACTCAGCCCATCAATCATCGGATGCCTCTAAGGAGTTGCCGGCCGACCGTCAACAAGCACTGGTGCCCATCTTTGATCATACTCAGCACGGCGCGTGCTCCCTCCGCTCCACCGGTAGCTAGGGTCCCGGCGCTAGCCAAGGAGGCCCTGTCCGCGCTAGAAGATCCGTCCTTCTAGAAGCCCATCATCGACTCCTGCTCCTGTTCCTGGACCAGGGTCTTGGATTTCGATTCTAGCCCTAGCCCATCAATTGACGTACGATCGTTCATGACGACAATGGTGAAGCCGTTTCGCTTGATATGCCACACATCAGGAGAGTTGCGTCAATGCCTTATTGTCACCGGAACACTGTCTATCCGGTCCCCAAGACCTCTTTTGGCCTCACAATCATGCGTGTTTCGGCTTCAAAACCGTTGGAACCCTATGTGATTCACTCTTCCGGGGGCTTCAGATACCATGGCATTGAGCATTAACGGCTGCAATCTTGGAACCTCCGAGAAAAATCTCAAGTTATCAATCATTAGGGCTGTTCCAAACACGCCAGCTACTGGCGAGAGCGCTTCCCTGGCGATGCCCTCAAGTTTCGTTATCTGGATCCCACTCAAAACCGGGTTCGTCTAGTCTGATGCAGGAGTTATTCCATAATAGAGCTCCGTCCTTTTCAGACCAACAGGCATGCTCGCATATGTCTGAGTTCCCAACCTTTCGGGCTTCATGACCTTTACCAGCAGCTCCTTTCCGGTTCCATTGACGTGCCAAGAGAACCACCACAAGGCTCATCTCGGCCTCCATTTCTGACGTGGATGTACATGTAGTTACGGCAACACTCAACACTCCCATTTTGATAGATCCAGATAATCGGTTCCAAGGGTCGATTCTCCCGCTTATTGGGCCCATGCTCACGCACCTGAGCGCGCCCCAACCATGAGCCGCGAGTCTACTTCCGCTCTTAGGCAGATGATTAGCTGACTGTTGCACGTACTTGGCTTCTAGGCTCAGTGCGGGAGCTTGTTCAATTCAGCCACCGTTGACCAGGATGTCGATCTAGCTTGGTCTGGTACGTGCTCACATTGATCAAATCTGGACCAGCCCCGACTACCCGGCGCGCACGCTCTCCCAACATCACGGGCTTCTCCCTGTTACGACATGCAGATTCGTCAAACAGAGGTTCCTGGCATGTGGGTATAGTTCGCTTGCGATCTAGTGAAGTTGATGGGCCCCATCCTCACAGAGCCATCTAATATAGCAGACCCTGTTGTGTTATAACCATTTGCTCCACGCTGTACCTCCTGTCCTGCACAAACACCAGAACTGTTTTCTCCCTAGTTGCCACGCCATCAGCTTTGGAACCCACATCCAGTGGTTCTGCTACCTGCAAAGGCGGCGAAAAACCTGGCATTGGCCGTTTTGTCTCTATTTCTACAGTTGTACTTGGTCAGCTCAGTATGGCTTAGTTCCACGCTCTTCAAGCGAAGCGCGTTTCACCTTTGACTCGTGCCCCAATAAGCACCACCGCCCAGCGACCTTGCATGTCGTCTATTTTCACAGAGGCCCATTTACATAATTGATTTGTCCGCAGGGGCCTTTACTATGGCAAATTACCATCTGGCCGTAGACAGCAGTTGAAGGCGTTGCTATTGCATTGTGCCCTCATCCTTGCTAGTCATGATGGATACCAGGGGTGGTCTTGTTTCTATATCAGGTACCCTGGGGACCTTACCATGGGCATAAGATCGTCAAATTGACCACCCTCCAAACCCTGGCTTGGGTTAACAGGTCGTCTCCGCAGCCCAGGGACTCGGCGGACGGGGCTTCTTCTCATACCGGACTGGGCAAAATCTCCAAGTGCTTTAACCTGCAGCATGAACAGAGCCAGACCATTGATCCACTCTCCCTGCTACCCTGCTCTAGGTACTCCGTCATCAGACGATATAGGCTGGCCCTGGTTCCAGCAACGTTTGCCAGGTTACTAGCCCTTGTGTTAAATACGTTTACTGACCCCAGGCCGGGAGCTAAAAGAGATCTTGTGAAGGGACCTATCCTAATATACAAAGCCAATCTTCACCGCGTGGACCATCTCTCTTTCTCATCGACAGTCTGAACTCGATTGTTGTGACGGCATGTTATAATACCTTTCGTCCTCTTCCAGTCTTTCATAAGTGCTTTGTTCCGAAGCCAGAAAATTCGAACTTCATGCACATTCATCACACTCCTTTGGACTTCTCACCACCGCTACGCCTTTGACTCCAACCCGGGCTCACCCCCCCCAACACAGCCCTCCAGCGCCAAATACCAGCGTCTCACTCGACTACGGAAACGGGAAAGCCTCTAGCCCGGTACCAATCATTCAAAATCCAGACACTGTTTGTGGCGAGCTGCTTAGTAGCCCATAACGCTGTTGACTTATACTTCAGACGCCCAATACAAGCTCAGCAGCCTAGCTTGACGCACTCAAATCCATCACGTTCTGCACGCTACTAGATACCACTTAATTCTCCCCGTCGTAGCCCGCAAGGGCTTCAGCTTGTCAAATTCTTTCCATTCAGAGCCCAGCGGCCGTCCAGAGCGGTTCGCTCTGGAGGACCTCATGCGTCGGAGGCACACTGGCGGGCACTTATCGAGTGGGGGATTATACCGTGGATTATTCGGGTCAGGGCTCACAATCAGGACAAAACCACCATCAGTCAGCGTATGATACATCGATTCACCAGCGTCCTCGACACCAGCAGCCTCGGGCCTCCATCCACCATACCGGAGGCCCGACTGCTGGTATTCATGGCACTCCCGACTCGCACCACGGAAATCCTCATGTCCAACATACACCCATGGCTCAACACCACCAGCATCCATCACCGCAGATGGTGATGGATCCATCCCAGCTAGGTCATCATCGTCTTGGACCGCCACAGTTTGGAGCACCGGGTCAAGTCATGGCGCCTATGTACCAGACTTTATCGACACCGACACCGCCTAATCATCCCCAACACTCCGTCCCCGGTTCTGGCACCAAACGACCGCGACCAAGTGACCTCGATCTAGGTAGTATGGGCGACTTGGATCATTCAGACCTCAGTAGTATGCAACAAACACCACTGGGAGCTGCCTATGCTCATGCCGCCGCCGTCGCCGTGTCACAATCTCAGCACCAACCTATACATCACCACCACCACCTCCCCGACTCAGAACCACCTTCAAAGATGATGCGTCGCGATGACGGACTGGGTGGTGCTCCAAGTGTCGTGGGACAAATGGGAATGCCTGATCCAGCACCTCGACCTCGGGGACCAAAACTGAAGTTCACACCAGAAGACGACCAACTGTTGATTGAACTTAAGGAGAACAAGAACTTGACATGGAAGCAAATAGCAGATTTTTTCCCAGGGCGATCTTCAGGGACACTGCAGGTTCGATACTGTACGAAGCTAAAAGCAAAGACAACAAATTGGACCGACGAAACGGTATGTTGAGCAGCATCTTGGTCTTTTTACACAAGCAACTCACTAACTTACTCTCAGGACCAAAAGCTTCGAGCTGCACTTCAGGACTACGAGAACGAAAAATGGAGAATCGTTGCGAACAAAGTCGGCACCGGCTTTACTCCTGCAGCATGTCGAGAACGGGCTGAGCAACTTATAGTCGAGGACCCAGCAACTCTGGCGGCTTTGTCGCAGTCATTATCACCAGCTGTAGTCTCAAACGCGGAGTCCGAAGAGCCCTTATACACTCATCATCAGCTTCAATAATAAAACAAGATAATTACTACAGCGGAGGATTGATAATAATAATTACGACACTTTACAACATCAGTTTCTCCCATTTGCAGGCCTTCGTCATCCTTTCCTTACGATCTTTCGACCGACATCAAACACATTCGCTTACATTTGGCCACTTTCATTCAGCATAATCTTTATCACGGTATTCTTCACTTTCGTCTGAAGAGGCGATTTTCTAGAGTTGTCATATCGATTTGAAAACACCCATCCCAGCCCAAGTAGGGCGCAACGCACCCACGACTTAACTGTTACCCCTGTATTATTTTCTTTTTGCTTGGTGCTTACAGGCCGTTTCACTTTTCTTTCGTTTGACACTGGCCTCTTGTCACAAATCCTTTTCTTAAAACATTAATCATACTTCGATTCCCATTTTTTTTCCCTTGAAAATTATCTTGTATTCCTTTTTTTTTTTTTGTCTCGACGTCTATGATCTCCTATGTCCGTTTACGAAAAAAACTACTTTAGACTTGGGAAACCCCGGAAAAGGAGAAAGAAACATTTACATGCGCCTAATATTCCCCATCCTTCAGCCAGGGGACACTGTCCAATCGCCTGGGATATGTGGCTGATCACATTTTCTTGTCACTTATTACCCTTATCTTATTACTATATCCAACCTCTTAATTATTCAACACATGTATGAGAACAAAAGCAGGATCATCGGCGGAGTAGGTTTCCTTTTCTGGCGCAGCGTATTCTTCGGCTTTGTGTATGCGGAACGGAAGGTGGAAACAAGAACATGTCGAAAGGTTTCTTGCTATCACAAGAAAGGGATATGGAGCGGGAGTGCAAATGGCATGTAGAACTATCTAGCATATGTGGCTGAAGGGCTCAAACCTCTCAAGTCAGCACTTGGAAATGCCATGATTCAGGCAGACTTTGAAAACGACCACGCTAGATCATACAGGAGAGGGATCTGCTCGATCACCATCAGTATCACGCCATCAGGCTCCTACTCAGCTTCAATGTAGCAGCGCTAGAAAAAATGTCAAAATGGAACCCTATAGCCGCGAGTCTGTCCGTTGCAAAGCCTATAATCAAAGCCTCGACACAAGATATAACTCCCAATGTGCAAAGGTTCCCTCGGATCTGGGTCACGACCCCTGTCTGCTTTGTCTCACCGGAACCATGTTCTCCACAGTTGAGCTAGACGAAACGAAACGGTTTATGCTTTAGATCCTTGTACCCAACTCCGCGCATCTCCTTCTCCTTAAGATATATAGGTGTGGCTACCGATCAGTTATAATATAGGTAAGGCCAGGCAAACTTAAAGAGAGCAAGGCGAGCGGAGGGCGGGGCCTTGCCACGTAGCTGTGTGCGTATAACGGTACAATCGCCTTGGCTGCCGACTGGTAGGATGCATCCCCGGACCCGATGAAGGTTACCTGTAAGCGGATGGAGCCGATGAAACTTCTTCCTCTTTGGACGCCATGCTGTGACACCTGTGGTTGAGCGAGGCCAAGCCTGTTCCCCCGGCTATCTCTTGATCAGGCACATATGTACATAGGTAGGTTACCGGCAGGCTACATGCTCAGGAGGACATACAAGGTCCGTCCCTGACCGTGAGGAGTTGCCGGTGCTTCTTGCCTACGTCGTCCGAGAAAAGACCGGGACAACAGTGGTTATCGCCTATCTTCTTACGCACATCGCACCGCATGGTATGCGAGTCACGCTAAAAGATAGCGGTCGTGAGTATGGAGGCTGGATTAACAACAGAAAGACGGTGGACCATCCAAGCGTGCATGTTGCCAATGTGGCGAAAAACATGGTGCCTCACTGTGACGTGGTGAAGGACAGATGTGAAGGGCTGCATGTATGTGTGGGCGCGCGGCTGGAGGAGATGCGAGGAGCCATCACACGATGCCGAGGGTGGTTTCTAGCAGTTGTAAGGTGACACAAGATGCTGTGATGTTTGGATGGTCTCGTGCGCCGACTTCGGGGTTGCATGTACCGTTCTCATCCATCAAGGCTATCCCAGCGCTGTATAAGTGAGGCAGCTTTGCCACATCTTGTGGAAACTACTTGGCTGCCCGGAGATCAATGCTGTACTGTGGTTCAAGAGCCGGGAGACAGAAAAGGCTACCGCCGTTGAAACATCCCCAGTGAAATCTCCGATATGCAACGTCTAAGCGAGGCATGATGGATGGTCGATGTCGATTATTTGATGTAGGTACTGCATAATGCTGGTCAAGCAGGCTGTCTGATATGTAGAAGATTAAGCCTGAAACTGGCTTCAAGTCCCGGTCACTACACCGACGATGTGTGATAGAGTTGGGGTACAACACCCCCTTCAACTTGGTCATGGATTTGTCGCCCCTTAGACAGAGATTTTGCTCATCCTAGGGCTATAACGGCCTAAGACTTGATGTGACATTGGCCAACGGCGGGCAGAGGTTGGTCGATGACGGTGGTGTCTTTTCGGTGATGATGCATTGCGACGCTGGACTTGGTTAGGTGCCTGCATGTTTCTCCTTTGCCCCACGACAGAACCAGTCTTCGAAAACGTTTGTTTCATCTGGTTGGCAGAACGGCTGTAGAGCCTGCTAGCGCGACTGGATAACCACCTGTGTTATGCCCTATATCACTGAGTGTTATAAGTCGGGTTGAGTCGGTACCCTGGCGATCGAGACCAGGAAAGAAAGAAACGCGACCAAACAAAACGAAACAAAACACGCCACTTTCGGAAAACCCCCCAGGCGAGTTAAATCAACACAACAGGACATGTTCCCTAATGCGGATGGGAGCCATATTGGTGGTTATTAGGTATCTTGTGCTCCTTGTATTGCTATGTTATGTGTTAACGTTGACCCGAAGCCGATCACAATCCTGGTCAGCCGAGCTGTATACATCTGACCCATGCCAGGGGCAACAAAAATGTTAGCCTCTAAGCTCCAGGTTATAAAAATAAATGGTCCAAGAGTGTACTCTCAAGTGATAGGAACCGACTTACTAATTTCGTCTCTTATGTTTCGGCGACCAAGTTTTTTTCTTGATACCCAAAGGCCATGCTCATCCAAATATCATAAGCGGGGCATTCGAAGTGACCGCGTCAACATCTCTACAACGCGTAAGGGTGCGTCCCCAGATCTGTAATTACCGGTCGGTAGCCGTGACTCTTTCATGATTTCCCTGTATCCGTCACGGAACAGCTGAAGTGGTTTCCGAGTTGATCCACATCTAGGGTACGGCCAGCCTCCACCAGCTCGACCAAGGTAGCATGGCATGTAACGTCCAGCTCTGGATCCAGAAAGGCTGCCATCTCGACTAGCCAGCCGTTGAAGTCCCTGATCTCGGTTGATCTGCCGGCGCGTACATCTTGCAGCATGGAGCTTGTGTTGTCCCTGACCTTGTGACCCACTTGATAGATCATGTCCTTCAGCTGTGAGTGAGAGAATCTTCTGTGCAAGCTTTTAGGCGAGAGATCAATAGTCGCGTCTGGTTCTGCTGATAGTTGTTTTTCCTGTTGTCTGATGATTTCTGCACTGCTTTCATGGGCCACTAGAAGTTGCAGTACTTGGCTTGCCTCGTCTAAAAGTTGGTCAATAACTTGAGAAAGAACCTCATTGTCCTCGCCAAATAGAGCGCCGTTCTTGCACCCGAGGATAGCTGTTAGAGGATTTATTATAGCATTGACCACCAGTTTCTCCAATTGCAATATCCATAATTCTCCTCTGGATACCGATCTGGCGTCCAAGTGTGGCGCTTCCAGCAACTGCTTTACCAGATAGGCCGTCCTGTCGACCGACAAGGAATTCGGAAGAACTGCCCCTACAACCACATCTGCCTGAGAGGCATGTAGACTCTTGAACGTTCCTTGTGAAGTGACGCCATGCGTTGTAACACAAGCCAAGTAGTTGGGCTCATGGCTACTGTGATAGCGATGGGAAACATACGATGATCCATGGGGTGGCCATAATTTGGACATTCCATTTTGTACAAAGAGCACAGTACTGTTCCGATCCAGGTAGCCTCGTACCCGGTCGACTTGAGGCAACGCAGCCGAAGCTTTGGTCGTAATTATGAGGTTCTTCAGCCTGTCGCCCTCGGCAACCTCTCGTATAGGGCCAATCTCGGGTTCAGTTTCAGTCCACCACTCAATGTCGAAGTCTTTGTTCTTTTCAAGTTTATCTTTTCGTAAAATTTCGATGCCTTGACTCTCTACCCATTGCTCTAGGAGCTCCTTTCTATGCACAACCAGGGTGATCGGGGGCTTATCCGGGGCTTGGGCGAGTGAAGATGCAAAGAGGCGACCCAGGTTACCGACTCCCAGAATATAAATACGCTTTTCGGAATCACCAGAAGCAGTATATGTTGAAAGTTGGGAGCCATCGTAGGAGGCAAGATTTGACACATTCCAGGCAAACAATGTCGGTGTTGGTCTTGAATCGCTGCAGCATGCTTCCAGCCACGAAGGCTTTTGAGAATACATTCTGGTAGATGCCGAGGGCCAGGCTGTTGATTTCTGCGTGTTATGTCTAAGTAAGAAGACTGAACGAGATCTCGACAGAAGAAAGCTCATTGTTGATGGTATGGGTTGGAGAGCTGATTTATATGAGAGCCGATGGCGCCGGTATTGATGGAGATATCAATGACGCCGTGTAATCTCACGGTACACAACGATCAATTATCGATATGTTGTTATCAGTAAAGCATTGGGATGGTGGATTGACTGGATAAAGAGAGAGAGTCGGAAAGATGATATGTCATGGTTCGATGATGCTTTGGATGTCGTTGAATACGAGGCTGGTGATCTGAGTTCAATGCTGGGGCTGTGGAGTTTGGTACACAGTGTATAGTGTCTATTAGGTATCTTTGATACTGTATGTTGGCAGTTATAGACAATTGGTTATGAATTACACCAAGACTTTGCTTATGGTAGTTTGTCTCTATCAGACTTTAAGGAACACCCCCCATCAATCAATGGTAGTTTGTTTGATACATAACTTAGTCAATTGAAGTGATTATCTGTTAAATAGCTAGGCATGTCTATGCAACTAATTCATCGTGTCTACGAGTTGATACTAATAACCTTTACGTTTGCGTCTTGTCATGGTTATCCCAAGCCATTATATCAAGAAGAAGAGATTACTATTCGTCGAACCTCGGTTTAAGAACACAGGATACTTTATGGTCTAGTTTGTATAACAACCAGCCAGAACTCAGATATTAACTCTGTTTTATTTGGTTTTGGTCTAGGGTGGTCCATCTCCAAATGAAAGACCCGCTTGGTGCCTGGAATGGATTGTTGTGCGCACCAATTAGCGCACGTGTGACTTCTTCTCTAGCACGCCCTTTCAGCCTAGAGTTAACTTCCATCATTTTCATTTTCTCTACGTCATTATATCTAATTAATTCTGTCAAACGAAGGGAATTCTCGCGCATGATCTCGAACTTTACAGTACTTTAATAATTTCATCGAAATCTTCAAATCTGCTATTGCCGTTGGAAACGCAAAAAAGTGTCGACGTGCACGATTTCAACTCAGAGACCATCTTCGGCACTCTAGCCTCTAAACCAAGGCAACCGTGATTCATGTTGCTCGTTCATTGAAAACCTGCCATTCTCACACTTCAACAACTACCATCTCTAATCTCCTTGCTCATTTCCACCAGGCGCATGACAACGATATAAATTATTCAGCACGCGCCTCCTTCAACCATGGCAGTCCAAGATGCGGGCGGCTCAGAAAACCAGGAGGTTGACAAGGCGGCGCTTCTTGATCAAATGGTAGCTGCGGCTCAGGAAAGCGTGACGCAAAGCGAAGACCAAGAGGAGCAGCCAAACACCGAAGGACTCAACGAGGAAGACGCCCTGCGGAATTTGACTGGCACTGTCCGAGACCAGAATGATCTGGAACGTGACATCACACTACAAGCCAACGCTGCCTTGAATGAAGCTGAGGATAAAAAGGACCAAAACCGTATAACAAAATTGCACGAGACCAAGCAGCGACTTCAGGTTCAACTAGGCAAGGAAAAGAATAATCTTGAGGCTGCACACAGCAACGTCTACAAATCTCGAAATGCCCAGAAGAACATCGCCAAGTTGGATGAACAAATCCGTCAAATAACCAGTGACATTTCGGATTTCCAGGCACGAATATCCAAGCGTCATGAAGACAACCCCGTTGAAGATCCGAAGAAATCCAAATCTACAAAGCTTCCTGGCGAAACTAATCGCGAGTTTCTAATTCGAACTGGAAAAATTACACCGTTTGCCAAGATCGGAGGGCCGCGACCGGTAGGAATTCAAGGGCAACTCGCGGAAACTATCTTGGACGCAGAGGAAGAGGCAACAGCAGAACAATTAGGAGGGGAGCTTGAAGGTCCCGCTTCTCACCAGCGGCTTCGACGTCCAGGTTTTGCCGATGAACTCGAACCAGAAACAGCACCGTCTCAGCCGGCTGTGACTGTTGCTGAGAGCGAATTCTCACTACGACCGAGGAAAAAGAAACGTACGCAAAAAGAACGCAGTCCATCAGCTGATTTTGAACCTGAAGCGTCTGGAAATGATTCACATGACGACGACGTCTGGCAGCAAGGAAATGAGGACGACCTGATCAGAGAACAGCGTCGTCAGGCCAAAGCAAAGGCGAAAGTCGCCGATCAAGAGCAGGTCGATCTTAGTAAGATCGACGATGGCAATGTGTCACATTTCAAGACGAGACTGAATGACTGGGTGACGCGCCGAAGCCGCGCAAGAAAAGCCCGGCGCCAAACAAGTGACATGTCTGCCGATGCCAACGAGAGCGACGACGACGAGGAAGAATGGTTCAAACCTGCACCGGACTTTCCAGATTATGATTTCGGCGATGGCCTGAAGCTCCCTGGCGATATTTATCCGTCGCTCTTCGGTTACCAAAAAACGGGTGTTCAATGGCTTGCAGAACTCTACAAACAGAATGTGGGCGGCATCATTGGCGATGAAATGGGCCTTGGGAAGACGGTACAACTGATCGCATTTATCGCTGCTCTTCACTACAGCAAAAAGCTGCACCGGCCGGTCATCGTCGTTGCTCCTGCTACCCTTCTTCGGCAATGGGTGAGCGAGTTTCATCGTTGGTGGCCACCACTTCGTGTGTCCATCCTACATGCTTCAGGCAGTGGCATGATGAACCCGAAATTTGAAGATGAATACGATCTGGATCATTACAAGCCCCTCGCTACCAAGTCTGAAAAGGCTGCGAGTCGAATCGTCAATGGAGTTGTCAAAAGTGGGCATGTTCTGGTGACCACATACACCGGTCTCCAGACATACGCAGATACCCTGCTGCCAGTTGAATGGGACTACGCCGTTTTGGACGAAGGTCACAAAATTCGAAATCCAAATGCCGAGATCACTGTAACTTGCAAGGAACTAAACACGCCAAACCGCGTTATTCTCTCTGGAACACCGGTGCAAAACAACTTGACTGAGCTATGGTCACTGTTTGATTTCATCTACCCCATGCGTCTGGGAACGCTCGTCAACTTCAGGTCTCAGTTTGAGATCCCCATTCGTCAAGGTGGGTATGCAAACGCTTCCAACTTGCAGGTCATGACCGCGGAGAAGTGTGCAGAGGCCTTGAAAGAGACGATCGCAGAATATTTGCTTCAACGTTTGAAAGTTGATGTAGCTGCTGATCTTCCCGAAAAAACCGAGCAAGTACTTTTTTGCAAGCTCACTGATGGTCAACGTAAGGCGTACGAGACCTTTATAAAGTCAGATGAGGTTTCGGCGATCTTGAATCGAAGACGACAATCACTCTATGGAATCGACATTCTACGCAAGATTTGCAACCATCCTGATCTGCTTGACAAGAGCCTGGGGAAGAAGGCTGGATACGACTTTGGTAACCCCAAGTTATCAGCGAAGCTCCAACTCACAAAAGACTTGCTACAAAAAGTCATGATACCGAATGGGCACAAAACGCTCCTATTCTCGCAGGGTAGGCAGATGCTCAACATTATTGAGAAATGTATGAGCGAATGTGGGATTTCCTATGTTCGAATGGATGGAGAAACACCCGTGGACCAGCGTCAGCCAATGATTGACAGATTCAATGAATCTCCGGGTATACATGTGTTCCTCATGACAACTCGAACTGGAGGGTTGGGAACAAACCTCACAGGCGCCGATCGAATCATCATCTTTGACCCTGATTGGAATCCGTCCACAGATCTGCAGGCCCGAGAACGAGCATGGAGACTAGGCCAGAAGAAGCCAGTCAAGATCTATCGGCTCATGACCGAGGGAACCATTGAGGAGAAGATTTATCATCGGCAAATTTTCAAGCAGTTCATGACAAACAAAGTCTTGAAGGATCCCAAGCAGCGAAGCAGTTATGATTTGTCCGACCTCTACGATCTCTTCAGTTTCAACACAGGCAAAGACGCAAGTGCCAACCGGAGTGAAGTTTTCAAGAAGGCACAAGTTTCCTTGGCCAATGGTGATGAAGGTGGTGACGGAAACCTTGACCCGAATCATGTCGAGAGTCGAGATCGTGAGAAGGACGTTGAGGGCAGGGAACTTAAGCAAATGGGTCTGGTGGCTGCCATGGAAGATTTCAGAGAAGACAAATCCGCCAACGACGAAAAGCGTATGTTGGAGGGCATCTTTGCCAAGTCTGTCAACAATGCATATGACCACGAGGCCATTGTCAATGGACCCCAAAAGCCACAGGCGGATATCTCAATCCTTCAAGATGAGGCAAATCAAGTAGCACGTCAAGCTGCAGCACATCTTCGACAAGCTGGCGCTGAAGCACGAAGGGTTCCCATTGGCACTGTTACGTGGACTGGTGAAGTCGGACAGGCGGGCCGTCCCGGAGCCAACCGTCGTCGCGGAGGGCCAAGTTCAGCCGGTATCATGAGTAATCTGGCAGATCGCCAAGGACTTGATACAGGAAGTGGGAGAAGCTCTCGCTCGGGGACTCCAGGCATGGACAAGAATCTCAAGTCCAAGGACTTTGTAGCCATGATCAAGACTTTCATCAACCGTCACAATGGTCGCGTTCCCAGCAAGATGCTAGTGGACCACTTCAACCCGTACTGTCCAGGCAAGAAGCAGAGCGACGAGTTCAAAGCAGCGCTGGACAAGGTCGCAGTCTTGAACAATACAGGAGGTGCAGGAAGAGGAATCTGGACATTAAAGCCAGGTGTAAAATAGACAAAGAAACGACACATCGTCTTGCGAGGCGTTCGGGCAGGAAATGGCATTTATATCGGAAAGCGTGTGGCTTTTATACTAGATATAGTTGTGTAATATGCATTCAATTGCTTTTATTTCATTTCATCGTGGAACGTTAACCGTGAAGCTACAGGATGTCACATCAAGGATAAAGTTTGACGAGCAGGATGATTCATAGGCCTTCTTCGGGCGAATTTTCAACTGTCTACTGCGTCCTAACCCATAACCTGACCAGGCTCTGCAGTGTAGACTGGAGACCAGGCGAAAAAGCCGTTCTCCTCGTGATTCTCAACGCCACAGAGAAACCAGATAGCGAAACTCCTGTCCAATCCAAGCCACCAAAAGGTAAGCAGTTCAGAGACGACGACCACGGCGACCACCCTTTCTGCGGGTAGAGTCGGAAGGAGTAGGGGTAACGTCCTCAATTCGGCCAATCTTCATGCCAGCACGGGCAAGGGCACGGAGAGCGGACTGGGCACCGGGACCAGGGGTCTTGGTACCGTTACCTGTGTGTTGATTAGTCTTGATGTTGCGATGAGACGGACTCGGTTAAACATACCACCAGTGGCACGGATCTTGATGTGAAGAGCGTTGATGCCAAGCTCCTTGCAGCGGGCAGCGACGTCCTGAGCAGCCAACATGGCAGCGTAGGGGGAGGACTCGTCACGGTCGGCCTTGACCTTCATACCACCAGTAACACGGGTGATAGTCTCACGGCCACTGGAATCACCCAAGTTAGCCTCATTGATCCACATATTTATATAACATCTCCAAGCTCTTTTTTTTCGCAATTCACGGGCTGACGAACCTCAGATCGGTGACGTGGACGAAGGTATCGTTGAAGGAAGCGAAGATACGGGCAACGCCGAAGACCAGCTCGCCTATTAAAACATTTTGTTAGTTTTTTTTTTTTTCAATTCTTTTTTATGATCCTTTCATCGGTCGTTTTCTCGTCGAGGGGGTCGCATACCATCGCGAACAGAGGGTCCGAGGGAGATGTTCTCCTGGGGAGCACGGGTGGCGGTCTTCTTGGGAGGCATTTTGAAGAAATGGGCGACTGCTGGTTACTTCGTCACTTGGCGGTTGAGAATGAGGATCACCAAATGTATTTCATGCGCGATGCCAAAATTCGGCGTGGAGGTGGCCGGAAAGGCGGTGGGGTGCGGCAATATTGAGATCCACCAAACCCTACTGGATCCACTGAAAGTTTTTGCCGAGAATTTCCTCACCCAAAAAGCGGAAGTTCTTTTCTCAACTTACGCTTCTTCGACCGACAACCACTAACCGACTCTTCCAACAGCCGTCGCCGACAAAATGGGTGCTACGTACGTGTTTTCTCCTTGAAGACGTGGTCGATATGGGCAGATGCCCCGGTTCTCGAGATTTCTTTTGCAGATTGCTGTAGTCCTCTCGCTGGAAAGTCACGGTCTCTTATTGAGTCGTTGATCTGCCAGCTCGATCTTTCTCGAGATTCTCCCTCAATTGTCTCAACCTGGAATACGGTGTGAGCATTGAGAGATGTTGATTGAGGTGTTGGATATGAAGACGAAAACTCTTCTTTCCTAAAGTCATTATCGTTGAATTGCAGTCGGTTGCTGAAACATGCCCTACACAATTCCTCGACTACTTTTCTCGAACATTACGTTTGGGGCGTTGTCGGATGAGTGAAAGACGAAGACTCAAGATACCCTCTTGTCACAGTCCTCTTAGCTCACCGATTAAAACCATCTTTCGAGTTAGCCAAGCAGAGAATGCTGCATTGCAACAGTTCTCGCACCGGCGCTCTGTTCCATGCTACGCTGTGGTATTGTGGACTGCCAGCTAATCAAATTTTGTAGCGTTCCTACCAACGACCAGATCCTGGTCCCCGAGACCCTTCTCAAGAAGCGCAAGTCTCAGGAGAAGGCCCGTGCTGAGCGCGCCGACGCCGTTGAGAAGAAGAAGACTGTAAGTATTACAATATTTTTTACACTGGCACTATGATGGAAAACATACATTTCATCAACTAGACTTCGGTCGATGCTGTTGATAGTTAACCTTCTTTCGGGTCTGACATTGCCTGACTTACTCCAATCATTACTTCATCTACTTGAATGACATGGACTAACCAGTTCGAAATAGGCCAACAAGGAGAAGCGTCAGGTCATCTTCAAGCGTGCTGAGAAGTACGTTCAGGAGTACCGCGATGCTGAGCGTGAGAAGATCCGTCTTCACCGCGTTGCCAAGTCTGAGGACTCTGCCTACGTCCCTGCTGAGGCCAACCTGATCTTCGTCGTCCGTATCAAGGGTATCAACAAGATGCCCCCCAAGCCCCGCAAGATCCTCCAGCTTCTCCGTCTCCTCCAGATCAACAACGGTGTCTTCGTCAAGGTCACCAAGGCCATCACTGAGATGCTCAAGGTTGTCGAGCCTTGGATCGCCTACGGTTACCCCAACCTGAAGACCGTCAAGGAGCTCATCTACAAGCGTGGCTACGGAAAGGTCAACAAGCAGCGAACTGCTCTTACCGACAACTCCATTGTTGAGGAGAACCTCGGCAAGTACGGCATTGTCTGTGTTGAGGATCTCATCCACGAGATCTACACTGTCGGCCCCAACTTCAAGCAGGCCTCCAACTTCCTCTGGCCCTTCAAGCTCTCCAACCCTACTGGTGGTTTCCGTCCCCGCAAGTTCAAGCACTTCATCGAGGGTGGTGACCTTGGTAACCGCGAGGAGGCTATCAACGCCCTCGTCCGCCAGATGAACTAAGGGATTGTCTTTAAAAACGGCTTTTAAGGGATCGGTCAATAGGACCTAATGGATTCAAAAAAAAATCTGCATTGTGCTCGGCGTTTTACTCATGACAGGGATTCATGACAGGGATATGGAAATTGATACCTTGATGAATGACACCCGAGTTTTCAAAATTATCTATCTGTGATGTACAAAATTTGTGATAAACTGTAGCCGCACGTGATTCATCAATTGCCTCATGATGCAGGGGTATTAATGTCATTTCAATGTACATGTGGAGAAACCGCTTTAAAGTTTATGAATGCCGTAGCCTCTCATATTCCGATGTGTTTGAGATGCTACATCTTGATATCGAAGCTTGTACCGCAGCCACAACTGCTGGTAGCAAGTGGGTTGTCTGTAATCTTAAACTGCGAACCGATCAACTCCATCGTGAAGTCAACTTTGCTGCCCTTGAGGAGGTCAAGGGATGGTTCATCGAGTATGATTTTCGGGCCGTCCTCCGAAGCAGTAGCCGGATCCGCGTCAGCGGGGATGTATTGGAAAATCGTGTCGTCTTCGTTAACGATGGAGGACCATTCGGCAGCATCCTTGGCTGGTAGAGTGACGAGACTCATGAGATATTGGAAGCCATGGCAGCCGCCACTCTCCACCTGAATTCTCAAGGCGAGGTTCGGGTTACCGTCCTTCTCCATGATCTTGTTGAGGCGCTTTGTGAAGTCAGCAGTGTTTTACGTTAATACTATCTTTTCGAATTACCTTGGCAGCCCGGTCGGTAATTTCTAGCATCATTTCGTTGCCATCTTCGTCTTGTTGGGGATTCAGTATAGCCCGTGTCTTTTGTCGTATAGCCGATGTCGAGAATTGCCGCGTGCCAGTTTCTCGCAACTTATAACTCCATGATCGTCCCGAGTGGGCATATGCCCTGTGGCGGTTGACCGTGAGTTTAGAGGCTCGCAGGCCGGTTGGCGGAGTGCATCGCGGGACAAGAAACTCGAGAGGTGTTGAGGATTGAACAGATGTAGTCGTGTAGCTTCGTCGCGCAAGCTGCATAAAGGAATTGACGGTGGATTGCGCATTAGCGCAGTGAACTCGGGCCATCGTGAAAATATTAAAGCAAAAGAATTGAGGTTGTCACGATGATGTTGGTGACAGAATTACGTAGTGGATGCTGAGAAATCCATGGCCGAATCCGACTCATCCACTTGCCTCCGGACCTCGAGATTCTTTAGACCGGAGACCGACCTGGAGGGCAAGTTCGGCTTAACGGCGGGAGATAGTGGAAAATACGTACCGGGCTAAGAATGATTTATTTGCATGTCTTTTCAATTATTAGTACTCTTGCTAGCTGCCCAACATCTATTTTCAACTTGTAAAAATCGGATCTGAAAACGAAATCACTTGATCTGAATTTTCTTTAAACATATTTTGATGCTGTTGTCTGGTTTCTTACTCAAAGATGATGGCATGAACCTAACATCTGGTAAAAATGCCAGACTATACAATTATTACTTAAATGCTTAATGAAAGATTTTAATATCATAGAAAGAAATAAACAAAGTCTCTTGGGTTGATTATATACTCTTCAACTTTGTTCAAAAAAAGCTTGTGACTCATGTTAACTGAAGATAAAACAGATTTCAGCCACTCGTGGCCGTGCGAGCGAGGCAAAGCACGCACCTCGCTACAACCCCAATAGCCCAAGCAGCCCCACTCCCACAATCTAGGGAATTTTCCTTCAGAAACAACCCCGCGCACTTCAGCCAGCAGACAAGTTTCAGTGCCCAAGAAATCGCCCATCATGTCTCGATTTTTCCGCGGCGGCGACGACAGTTCATCCGACAGCTCCAGCGAAGAGGAGGAGCTCTACTCCGAGGAGGAGGAGGAGGAGAAGAAGCAGGACTCTCAGGCCGACTCTTCTGAGAACGATGACAGCGACGACTCTGACAGCGACGACGAGGGCGGCAAGGGTATCAACAAGTTCTTGAAGGATGCCTCTTCCGATAGCGACGATAGCGACGATGAAGTACGAGCCAAGGTCAAAAGTGCAAAGGACAAGCGCCTAGACGAGTTGGAATCATCCATCAAGCAAATCGAGAACGGTCAAAAGAACGGCGACTGGACCCTCATCTCTGCCGGTACGAGATCACCCATCGAACTTTTTCATCGACTTTCTTAAATACTAACAAAAAATAGAATATGAGAAGCTCAACCGTCAGGTCGCCAAGCTGCCTGGCAGCAGACCCCCTAAGCCCTACATCCGTATCCTCGCCGAGCTTGAGGACTTTATGAACGAGTCTCTCGCCAAGCAGAAGGTCACCCCCAAGAAGATGAACGCCATCCAAGCCCGATCTCTCAACGCCGTCAAGCAAAAGGTCAAGAAGACCAACAAGGAATACCAGAGCCAGATCGATGCTTACAGAGCCGACAAGGATGCTTTTATGGACTCTTCAGACAATGAGCCCGTTGTTCCTGTATCAAAGCCCAAGAAGGTCTCTCTCCAGGTTGATGCTGCTCCTACTGAGGAGGGTGACGACGATGGTTTCGCCACCGTTGGAAAGGGTGGCCGCACACTCCAGTACACTCCCGAGAGCATCTTCAAGCACCTGCGAACCATTATGGAGTCTCGTGGAAAGAAGAACACCGACCGAACAGAGCAGATCAAGACCATGGAGAAGCTGGGCGAGATCGCCAATACCCCTTACCAGAAGATCCGCGTTCTCCTTACTCTCGTCTCTACTCGTTTCGATGTCGGCTCTGGTGGCGCCTCTGCCATGACCGTCGAGAACTGGAAGGCTGCCGAGAAGGAGCTCTCAAGCCTTCTCCAGGTTCTTGAGGAGAACCACGATTTTGTCGTTGTTGAAAACGCTGAGGAGTGGGATGATGATGAGAAGCCTCCCACTCTGCAAGAGGGTGAGAAGCACATCAAGGTTCCTGGCAGCATCGTCTCTTACATCGAGCGTCTCGATGATGAGCTTGTCCGCTCCCTCCAAAGCATCGACCCTCACACCTCTGAGTACATCGAGCGTCTGCAAGACGAGGGTGCTCTCTACAACATCATCTTCCGCGGTCTTCTCTACTACGAGTTTCTCCGAAAGGACGACTCACTGGAGATTCCCCAAGACAGCGTTAACCGAATTGTCATGCGCCGCTTGGAACACGTCTACTTCAAGGTAATTATCTCCTCTTGTCACGCCATTTATTCACTGACTAACATTCTTCTAGCCCGCCCAGGTTGTCCAGACCTTCGAGGAGAACTGCTGGAAGCCCGTTGGCGACTCTGTCGAGTCTGTCATCACTCCCCGCGACCAGGCACAGAACGCCGGCAACCTTGTCAACGTTCTCTGCAACTACCTTTTCAGCAACAGTGAGGGCATTATTCGCGCCCGTGCTATGCTGTGCCAGATCTACTTCCTCGCTCTTCACGGCGAGTACTACAGGGCTCGTGACATGATGTTGATGTCGCATCTTCAGGAGAACATTCCCAACTTCGACGTCCAGACCCAAATCCTCTACAACCGAACTCTGGTCCAAGTTGGTCTCTGCGCATTCCGCAAGGGACTTGTCTACGAGGCCCAGAACACCCTCCAGGAGATTTGCGGCAGCGGCCGTCAGAAGGAGCTGCTCGCTCAGGGTGTCATGATGCAGCGATACAACCAAGTGTCTCCCGAGCAGGAGCGCCTCGAGAAGCAGCGACAACTGCCCTTCCACATGCACATCAACCTCGAGCTCCTCGAGTGTGTGTACCTGACATGCAGCATGCTTCTTGAGATCCCTCTGCTGGCTCAGACCGGCTCATCTCCCGACGTGAAGAAGAGAGTTATCAGCAAGACTTACCGCCGCATGTTGGAGTACCACGAGAGACAAATTTTCACTGGTCCTCCTGAGAACACCCGAGACCACGTGATGCAAGCATCCAAGGCGTTGGCTGCTGGTGAGTGGAAGAAGTCTACCGAGTTCATCCACAGCATCAAGATCTGGGAGCTTATGCCCGGTGCCGAGGAGATCAAGGCCATGCTCTCCAAGCAGATCCAAGAAGAGGGTCTGCGAACCTACCTCTTCACCTACGCTCCCTTCTACGACACCCTCTCCACCGAGACCCTCAGCGACATGTTCGAGCTTGACTCGGCCAAGGTTGCGGCTGTTATCAGCAAGATGATCAGCCACGAGGAGCTCGCTGCTTCTCTGGACCAAGTCACATCCACCGTCATCTTCCGCAAGGGTGTCGAGCTCAGCCGTCTCCAATCATTGGCTCTTGCTCTATCAGACAAGGCCAGTCAGCTTATTGAGAGCAACGAGCGAACTCTGGAGCAAAAGACACAGGGAACAACAAATGCATTTGAGCGACAAGGCGGCCGAGGCCGAGGAGGACGTGGGCGAGGTGGTGGCCAGGGCCGAGGAGGAGCCCGAGCAGGTGGCAACGCACAGCGACAAGCTGGTGGCACACAGTTCACGGGTGGTGCGCTGGGTGCGGCTGTTCGAGGTTAAGGATGGGGAAATGAACGAGATGAGGCGTCTTAGTCGTTTGCATTTTGCATGGGATGGTTTCTTTTAATGAAAAGGGGCGATGATGCGGAAGCACTCGCTACGTGTCACTAGGTCGAAACGGAATAAGGATACATAGAACTCGTCAAAACACCGCGCTCCTGGACTATTGTGAGGTGATAGGTATGCCTCGAAGCATCGGAGGATATGAAGAAGGGATGTATGTCAAAAGTATAGGCAAGGAAGATGTAGCGGAGTCTATTGATCGGGAATTTTAGATGAACTCTGCTTCCAGTGAGGTTTCCAAAGACTGCAGACAATCTAGAGAGAACCATTTTATTTTATATCTTTATACGCATGCCTCCGGATATCAGATACATGATGAAATTAGTAGGCCAGCCTATGCTACTTACATTAGACTTCTTTAGGCTATTTACTTTTGTACCCTAAAGCTTAGAGGGCAACTTTCTTTCCACCAAGCATGAATCATAGAGATGAATTAAACTGAAGATTATAGACAAGGTAATAAATGACTCTTGTGTAAGGACTTTGATGGATTAGGCTGAACTGGTATCGTATGAACGATGACTTGTTTTGTCCAGAATGGTAAGCCCGATGATATCGGCTTTCTTGCCGACTCAATTGAGACTCGGACCATGAAGCCAGTGACATGGATTTGACTTTACCTACTTAGAATCTTAGTGTAGACGAGAATCTCCAAGAAATAGTTAAGTCGTTAGTTAAGTATTATGGTATTTCTTTGTATTGAGTACCTGGCCAGGCAGTGGGTAGCAGAAAAGTTGGCACCCAAAGTCTTAGGTTACAAAGATAAATAGTCTAAGAACTATAGTCTAAGTAGCATAAATTGGCCTACTAATTCCATCTCTTATGCTCATATTCTTAAGATTGAGATATAATATAGCTAAGTAAGAGGCGCGCGCCAAGATGACTAAGTTGGCGCGCGTTGAAAATCGGGCTCAATCAGTCAGCGATTTCCAATCCTTTCGACTTTTTCCATTGCGGATATGGGCGGCTTCTTAGTGGTCGAAAGGGTCTGAGACCTGGGCGGTATCATGAGAGACAACTCCTTTCTGGCTTTTTTCTTGTAGTAGGTATTTTTAGTGAGATTTCTTCTCGGGCGGACTCTTCTCTCTCTCTTTCTTCTTCTAAGTTTTCTTGTTTTTTATCCCACCAAGAATGAGAGCGATTTGGCGTTTGCAATCCTGTAACAACGCTTCAGTATCTATACGCAAGAACATACATTTTCCAACATTACCACTTAGATTATTCCCCTTCCAGCGATCTATATCCGCAACGTCTCATACTTTTATTTCTAGTAGACGTTTTACATCTCGGACTTATCATCAGCAAGCAGTCATGTCTGAACCAAGAGCCGAAGATGCGTCAAAGCCCGTCAAGACAAAGACGGAGGAACTACCCCCGTTGTCTGACCATGACTTTAAGGCTTATAACCGACTAGCTGTTCATATGAACTACTTTGTAAGATTAGGCTGAACAAAAAGTTCGACAACATAGACTAATATGATCCATAGCACGATAACTTCCGAAGATCATGGAATCTCTTATGGAATGCATGCACAAACAACCGCAGACCTCAAAGCATGTCCCTCAAACAGTTCATTATGGAAGGCCTGCAATTCGCTGAACATCTCACTGTACACCACAATATTGAGGAGACATATGTCTTTCCCATCCTTGCCAAGAAGATGCCCGAGTTTCGCGGCGGACGCGCCGAGCTGTTGCGCCAGCATAAGCAGATACACGCGGGCCTGGACGGGTTCGAGGAATATCTCAAGAAGTGCCGTACCGGAGATGAGGAGTTTGAGCTGAGCGTGCTCAAGACCAAGATGGAGTCGTGGGGTGAGGTCCTCTGGACTCACTTGGATCAGGAGGTTGAGACTCTTGGTGCCAACAATATGAGAAAGTATTGGACCAAAGAGGAGATAGCGAGGATCCCTATGTAAGGAGGATGACTGAATAGTTATGAGAGCGCCTATATGAACTGTTATCCAGCTGTTAATCTATGTACATATATATGAATCGCAGATATCTCCAAGCGCCCAATTCTAAATCCCTGTTTCATACCTTGATGAAGGGGTGGTATCAATGATGTTTCTAAACGAACACTGCCTTTTTATCTCATGCGCATGCATGTAAGTAGTAGCAGCACACAATAGTGATGCCTTCAACGCTAGACAACAGCATGATTCTTGCGTGGTTCCTCGAGTGGTGTCCTTTTCTAAGCAGTCTGGCGCCAAAGGCTCTTCATCATGACGGTTGCTGGCCATGTAGCAATAGCCGCAACGGCAATCTCAGGCATCAGACCCTGCTCGGTACCCCAATGAGCCGACAAAGGCATCCAAGGGAGCGTGCCGAGGAAGTTAGCCTTCCAGTTCATCTTCCACTCCTCCTCAGTGGTGATGTCGCCGCTTGGCGTTCTGCGCGCACGCTCAATCAACAAACGAACAAGCTCGAGGGCAACCCAAACGCTCCAGGAGCGAGCAGCCAACAGACCGAGCTTCGCGCTCGTCTTTTCGGACAAGTTGGTTGCACCCTTGCAGGTCAACCAGCAGGCACCCTCACCAAAGTTGTAGACGAAGTTGCAGAGAATCTGCACAGTCATGAAAGCAATGTTGACTCGGTTGGGCGCAGGGACCTTTTCACCCTTCTCGTCAATCATTTCACCGCGGAGGCGCAATATGAGATCTCGGGCTTCGAAGTAGGTACCAATAACGCCCCAGAAACGGTTCATGGTGCGCCATTCGCCCATCATGTTGGTAAAGCCTTGGATGTTCTTTGAGAGGCCGAGAGCCAGTGTCGCAAGAGGCGGCGCAGTCACAGTAGAAAGGACTACAGAACTCGAGGGTGGTGTTTTGAAGGCCATTTCGACAACCTTTCGAGCCGAGTGACGGAGAGTAGTCCGGCCCATGATTTGGAGAATAGCTCCGATCAAGCGAGCGACATATGTTGTGAAGAGAAGGACAGTATCTGTGCCCTGGCGCGTCTTGATGACACGGGAAAGGTGTAGAATAAAGTCATCGATAGCTGAAGGCGACTTGAGGAGTCGCGCAAGAGGGCTACTTTTTTGTGAGGATTTCTTGACGTTGGTGTTGGTGTTTTCTGTTTTTGTGTAGCTCTTCTCAAGCTCAGAGGCCGGAAGTGAATCGGCGACAACGGGCTCCGCCGAGGGAATGGCAAAGGCCTCGGCGGGCGATTCTACGGCGATCACGGTCTCAGTCTCGGTCATGGCGGCGGATGATTTGGAAAAGAGAAGCTCACGGTGAGCATTTGATGGAGGGAAAGAGGTACCGAAAAGGAACCAGGAGAGAGGCCGAAGAAATGAGCAAAATATATGAGGTAAAATAAATTAGAAAATAAAAAAAAACTGGAAAATAATGATGCGATAGATCCTAGTCCAGGACTCCAGTGGTACAGTCCAGGTTATTAGCGGTTCTTCTTCAGTGATGTGGGGGTATTTTCTTTATCAATCAGTAGCTGTGGGGAATAGTAACTAGGGGGCCCAGGGCCTCATCGCAGTACTGACCGAGGCCAACAGGTGAAAGCTCCGCTTCTGAGTCCCCGTTTGCCTCGGTAGTTTCAGACGTTTGATTCGTTGCGTGCGCCCGAAATCACTCGATACGCCATAAATACAAGGATTCCCAGGCTCCATCATACCTTGTGAAGACAAACCCACGGCTTTGCCAGATTAGGCAACTTTTTTCCAGAGCCAAACAGTCATTCTGGAGGATGAAAGCGCAGCAAAGCATCATGACACTCGATGCTGTTGTATGTATCATGGGACCGTGTCGGGCTTGTTTTGTGACCCCATAGGTTCAGTAATGTCATCATGATCGGATCTTGGCCCGTAGTGTTAGCTCTCCCCAGATTTGCATGTGATTGTGAACGGGAACAAGACCCGAAAGGGTCCAACAGGTCACACTGCGAGTACCGTAATTTGATGGGGTGTTCCTCAAAGTCTGATAGCTCTGATTAGGGTGAGTACCGTAATATGAACAAAGAGCTTTTTCCATGACGTGGCCGCTTTCAGCCATAAGAAACGAAGTAATAAATCTTGAGGTCAACTCTGGGCACTCTCATCATTAATGCTCGCAGAAATTCCACTCAAGGTTCCTGAGATTTTCGTCCAGTCCTCTCTGTTGAGAAGTCCTCTCCTCCATCAACTCCTTCCGGATCTCCTTTGCCTTTTCTAGTCCTATAGGGAAATCCATATTATCCACCACCATGCGTGTCACCTCAGGAGGTAGATTGCCGACTTGGCCTTGTAGGAGGCTATCTTCAAACCAATGACGCTGCTGCGGCGGTACGTTTGCCGTCGAGATAATAGGTATCGAGGGGTCAACCAAGAACAACGCCAGGATCTTACGGTGACCGGGCCGTGACTTGTCAGCGAGCTTGAAGGGACTGACATGATGCTGATAGACGTTGGGGAAGAAGAGCATTCTGCCCTGCTTTGTGACAACGCTACCAATATCCTGGATGGTGTCGCCTGCAGCTCGAATAGCAAAGACATCTTCAATACTGTCATAGTCGCTTTGCTCGTAACGTAACTCCATCATCATGTCCTCTCTATTAGCAGTTGTCCGGAAATCCAGACGAGACTCGGTAACGTTGTCACAATCATAGTAATAGAGTGCAGTTGCGCATATATGTTCGTTTAGTTGACCCTCGATATGCCAAGACCCTCCATCGTAGGACGGTTTCTCGGGCGTGAGATGAATGTTTGCAAGCTTGACAATGACCTGCACACGAGAGGCGTTGCTGAACCATCCAGAGGGCTTCACATCGTCCGGTTTGATCTTGACGAGTTGGTCTTGTTCATCCTTGGGCTCCGGGCGGCCTTGTGGATGGGTCCTGTTAAGCCATTCTTCATCACGCTTATGGTGATCGCTGTTCCAATATTCCTTAGTTCGGGGGTCTGGGCGGTCAGGCTCCCCTTCATTCAGCGGCCGTGTCATCAGCCTGCAACCTCCTGACCATCTTGCCGAGTTGCAGATTTCCGGCACTCTGCATTGAGATTCAACATTTTTGGTAAAAATACGCTGAATCCTGAAATCCTTGTGCCACCTGTAGATAGCATCCCAGGCCGGTAGTGACTTTTCAATGAACTTCTCAACAACTGGGTAGAGTGCAGCGTGTTTGACAGGGTGAGCGTTGTTGATATAGCTATCAATGCTAGGATGGTCCCCTGTCAAGCCGACATCACAGGGAAGCCATTGGAAGCGTCTCGAGAAGTAGCTTGCAGGCTGGAATTTGTCAAAATCCTCTTCCCCGATATCAAATGGCTTGGCGTCGGACTCGGGGTCTTCTGGCACAACAACACCTGTACCGCAGTGGGCCAACGCCTCTTCGACATTGATACACTTATCTGATAGGATACGCGAGTGTCCGTAGTAGAGAGGCCAAAGAGAGGGATGCACGATGTCGAGCACCTTACCATCACTGCCAGGGTGCCAGTCTTTTTGGTCCTCAGGGACGTTTTCCATGGGAGCAACAGCATCTTTAAGAGCATCGCAGAGATCTTGGGGGATCAAGTTGTCGGACTTGATAGCAGCTGAGGTATAGTCCATGACGGGTACAAGGCCGGTCTTTTCGTACAAGTCTGCTTTCAGGCGTAGCTCCTTGATGCACGCTTCAGCCATTTTCTGGGTGAAATCGCCATGTGGCCGGTAGTCTTCCCAAAGCATCTCCATGGCCTCTTTCATCCACTTGGCAGCGATTTCCTCGTCCTTTACTTTGAGCCACCACTCGGGCTTGTTGGTAAGATCCTCTATGACCTTGAGCATGCATATCTCGCGAACAGTCAAGGTGACAGCTTTCCATTCCTTTGGATTATCGTCTTCGCCGGCGAGAACTGGAAACGGCTTTGCAACCACCATGTAATTGAGCGGCAAACCAAATCCTGGCCGTTTGATGCCATACATGTTGAGGGTATTCTTTGAAAAGAGGTGTCGTCGTGGAGGGAGGGAGCCTAGTGGGTAGTAGAAAAGTTAGCCTCCTAAGTCTTAGGGTATAAAAATAAGTAGTCTAAGAACTACAGTCTAAGGAGCATAAACTGACCTACTAATTTTGTCTCTTATACTTCCAGCAGCTGGTGCTTGATTCTTTTTGGAACACAACTCTGGAGAAAGGTGGGAGTGATGTGATTTTATAGATGGAATTCAAGCAATCTCTAGTACCGAAAGCATGGTTGAGCCATCAGAGAGGAAGGTAGGGGGTGCTTAGGCTACTGCACTTAACCTTGTTCAATCCCAAGGCACCAGCCTCCACTCCTGCCTGTCCGGTATAAACATGAGGCTATTTCTACAGCTAAAAAGAGAGGTAGGTAGACCCGCAGGTGTTCTAGTTCAAGGCAGCAACGCGCAAAAGAGGGAAAGAGTAGTCGCGCGCGCTCAAGACACGAAGTCACGTTATCTCGTAGGATTCTACCTAGTAGTCTTCTCTTACGCTGAAATGCATCTTCTCTCTTTGTAAATACTAATGTATGTAAGAAATTAGACCACAAACTCGATATGCCAAGATCAGATTAACTAGGAACCTGTCCACCAGCGCCGTATTCCACCTGAAGCGGTAAGTGGAGATATGGATTACATCCAATACAGTGTTGATGCATGATCTCATTCCAGACAAATGTAGCGTTTTTACACAAGTTATCAAGGTCCAGACTTTCTATCTTGACTCTTATAGGCCTCAAACCCTGTAGAGATAGTAGATGAAGGATCCTGGCTAAATCAGAAGTACCTGCTGGATATCAAGGATGGATACAGAGTTTGTTTGTGGTGTTGCTTGAGAAGAGAGGTTGTGAGTTATTTTAGTTGTATATACAGTACCTTGTATCTCTTGATGATTTCCATTCACCCTTTGATTATCTGATCTAGCTATCTGTAATATTATTCTTTCTATGCAACGGTTTAGCCTGTCGATATCATCTTCATATAGCTGAGTTCACCTATCATCACCACTACTTACTATCAAACACTCGACTATTATTCACCGGCAAAAAGTCCCAGATCTTCTTGTTGGGTTACAACTCAAAAGACTGTCCCTGAAGCTGTTCAAATCCCGGTCAACTCTCTGCCAGAATCGCATCACCATGAACTTCGCCAACGACATAGCTCCCAAACCAACAGCACCGCCAACAACATTCAACCTCAACCGACGAGCAACATCAAAAAATGAGGTGGTAATATCAATCGCACCTGACGCTGTTTGTGGATACATCTCGGAGCGACCTGGTGCCCAAAGAGCTTGCCCGGTAGATCACAACTGCTACTTCATGAAGTTGCTGTCGACTGGAAATATTGCATGTTGCGACAACGTGACTTGTAATTACAATGCCAATTGCATAAACTCTCGAGAGTACTTTCAGTCGAGTAAATGTACTGGCGGCTGTGAAGTCGACAACTACACTCTGAAATGGTAACATCATAGTCCTTACCAGCCTTTGGGAGAGCCTGCTGATGGGAAGTATAGCACCGGTTCCAGTGCTCCCTATTGCAATACAGTCTCATGGAAAGGAAATATCACCGACTATTGGTGTAACGGCATTGACATTACGACGGCACAAAGTGCTGCTCTTACCTACAGAGGCCAAAAGGACCCCCCGGAATTTTCTACACTGAATCAGGAAGAGTTGAGTTCCTTGGAATCGCAAATGAGTGAAGCAAGGACAGCAGGCACCGCCTATGGAGTCCCAAAGCAAACATCAGAGCAGACATCAGGGTCGACTGCCACTGAGACCAACGCCGATGATGGTGGCAGTTCAGAGACACCAGTGGCCGCAATAGTAGGGGGTACAGTCGGTGGTGTTGTTGTGCTTGCTGCTGCAGGTCTGGGACTCTTCTTCTTCCTCCGTCGCAAGAAGAAGAAGCAGAGCAAAACTGCGAGTCCACCAGGTTTCCAGCAATCAGAGAACAAGTCTCACTGGTCTCCTGGACAGCAACCAGGTGCGCCTTATTATTACGGCCCAAACAATCCCCAGAGCAATATCAGCCCCAACTCACAATGCGTGTATCCTCAAGCTGCTGGGTTTCAGCCTCAGCAGAATGTTATTCATGAAGCTGGTGGTGAGGCTGTAGATCCGAGTAGCCAACCCCAGGAGCTTCCAGCAAACAAGAAAGAGCCAGCGGAACTTGGATAATTAGGTAGCGTTCCGGATTGGAGTTTTTTTTGTTATAGTAGAGCGTTTGGAATTCTGTTGGCTTGAAACGTGGTAGACCAAGATCTTTTGCCTCTCTACCATCAGGGCTGAGACAATCACGAGTCTAATATTCTCACGATCGACAATTGGCAGGTTATCAGTCAGTACCCATAAAGATGATGATAGTTTTCCCCATAATTTACAATCTTTTTATTTATTTATCTAAAAGACGTCAGTCAGTCAATGTCTCTTTTTTGCAATCAATCATTGTGGATGTTGCCGATTAACAAGCCCCATTTCTATGCCAACTACGTCATGGCCTGACCTAAAAGACAAACTCAAAGATTAGTTACCAGGTTCCCTTTCAATTGTTGCTATGCTATACCTACCTGGACTGCCTATTCTCTACGTGCATGAGACAGATACTAAAGACAACAACATCCAACAATAACATCACTTCTAACCGGTTAATTTGGTGGGTCGCATCTCACATCTCATCACAGGCCACATCTTATCGCAACACACCACATCATCAATCATATCATGGCTGCCAAATGGTCTTTCAAAGCCCAACCAGGCATCTTCATCGAACTCACCGACATCGCTCATAACTACCCTGGAGAAAAAGTCACAACCCAACCAAACTTGGGCCTCATCCCCGGCCAGTCATACCCTTCCGACGATCCAGATGCTTCCGATCAGCGGGATTGGGCCCGTCTCGCACGTTATGTGACATGGCTCAATAAGAACAGCTCAAACAATGTCGCATACAAAATCCTATACTTGACGCGACACGGTCTTGGTGTGCATAACAAGATGCACGCTCAAGTAGGTTCAGAAGCATGGAATGTGAGTTGTCCCCCCCTCTCATAGTTTCTTCCAGCACACACTAACAAAAAGACAGACAAGAGTGTCCTTCGAAAACGGGGACGGCAAAGAAACTTGGTTCGATGCCTTTCTCACTGAAGTAGGCGAGCAACAAGCCAAAGATCTCAACACCTTTTGGACAGACCTCATCAAAGTCCAAGGCGCACCACATCCCGAAATCTTTTACACCAGCCCTCTAGCTCGGTGTCTCCAGACAACAAACCTTGTCTTTTCCTCCCTCATGGCCACGCAAACACCCCCTCAGCAACCAATTGTCAAGGAACTACTTCGAGAGAGAATCACACGCCACACGTGCGATTACAGGCGTCCACGCACTTGGATAGCGGAAAACTATCCCAGCTACCAGATCGAGGATGGGTTCGAGGAGGAGGACCAGTTCACTAACAGGGTGGATCCAGAGACGGATGAAGAGCATGTTGTGCGTAAGCAAAGGGCCCTCGAGGACATTTTCAACGAGACCTCGAAAGACTGCGAATTCATCTCTCTAACAGTACACTCGTATGCCATCCGAGCCATTCAGGGTGCAGTTGGGGCGGGTATCTGTCGAACAAGGGAAGGAACCAGTGTTGCGTTACTTGTCAGAGGCGAGAAGGATGTTGAGACAAACGGCGTGGATGGTATGGACATTAATGACTACGTCTCGGCTGATCCTGAGGCTGTGAGCTCACTAAGGAGATTTTCTATGTGAGCCAAGAACATTGGAGGAGGAGGGTACCTAATAAAAGTAGAATACTAGCCCAGTAATGACAATGAATTGGATGCAATTCCTCTTTATTGAAAAATGCATATCAGTAATTAAACGTTTCTGGTCACATATCGGAGCTGCACAAACGTGGGCCAAGGTTTGATAATGAACAGCAAAGTAGACAGAAACTCAGTCCAGTAAGATGTTCCTGATGTTGATTATTCACGTATTCACGTGTAGAATTGTTTTGTTTTAAGTTTTAATGTATGGCTAAAATATGATGCCAAAATTAATGAAAAATTAAATCATGCCAAGTGGCATGCTCTGGTGTACAGAAAGTCCTGCCTCCCTTATGCTGTCATAAATCCAAAACGCCATCTCTGGGCTCGCTATCTCTCAAACTCTTCAAAAGTAATCAAGAGCCAAATAACTACTGAAAGAAAAATGCAAAAAATGTTTTGCTTTTCCCGCAAAGTCGTGTTTACCACCACTTGAACAAGGTGGACCACTTCTTCCAAGGGCCACGCCTAGAAGGGATCTTGTTCTCGGGAATAGAGATCTCATAACCATCGTCAATATCCTTAGAGACGGTCTTGGATGTGTATGAGTTGTCATCGCTCTGGAGCCACTTGTTGAATCTGCCCTTGTCCTTGTGGCGGTAAGAGTCGACGGGCTGAGGAAGAACCTTTGTGCATTCGGTAAGACTGTTGATGTTGTTGACACCCAAAAGACTGAGACGGACGTAGGCGCGGGCGTAATCCTAAGAAAAAGTTAGCGATCTGGTAATGTGTCTGCAAATGGTGAACCTTACCTCGTTCCAGGCAGCCTGGCCGGTACTACCACTGGCAAAGGCCTCAAAGGCAGGCTTGGTGAGAGGGTGTTGGGAGAGAACCTCGTCACTGGCAAACTTGTAGACACGCTTGGGGGCATTCTGGTCGAGAGTCTGCTGGTAGAACAGGATATCCCAGACACCAGGGGTGCTATCCTGAGGATCACCGTCACGGTCGATGTTGGTGTGGTGCTGTTGGGAAGTTGTATGCGCACCGATGAGAGCGACGAGATCATCAGGGCCAATGGTCTTGTCCTTGAACAAGTTGATGAGAGTAAGAGCATCAGAGTCGACTCGAGGCAAGAGTCCCCCCAAGTTAGCCTTGGTGCTATCCTTGCGGCCAACAAAAGAGCGCACTCGGGGTCCAAGAGGGCAAGTGACAGCAGCAATGTTGGAACCCATCTGGATGAGATCGGCCATGGTGACTTGAGTGAAACCGTACGTGTTGTGGTATTTGTCGTAGATGGTTTGGTAGTACTCTCCAATCTGTTCAAGACCCTTGTTCTCGCCGCGGGTCAGCTCATTAGCAAGGATGATGGAACCGTCAGCACCACCTCCTTGAGAAGCAGTCTTCAAAGACCAGGTACCAGCATCGTGGAAGCCAATTCGAACTGCATAACGAGCCCATCGGGTGCAGCGACCAGCCTCACCCCTGAAACGGTCTTGAAGTTCGTTAGAGATGTATTGCCACACGCAGCAGGTGTCGCGCTTGCACTGATTGGTGTTCATAGATGGGCAGCCCAAGTAGCGCTCGCGGCTGGTAGGGTTGCCATTGCCTTGAAGGATCTTCTTGATATCACGGCCAACTGAGGTGAGAGACTTGTCGCTGACAGTGGTAAGATCCCCGATAAGGGAGTGGGCGTTGAAGCTGTCTCCAGTCCAGCCGCTCTGGCCTCCGCTTTGGCTTCCGCCGTTGCTCCAGCTGCTGCCACCATTGGTCTGGCCTGGCCATGAGGTAGAGCCTCCTCCATTGCTTTGGCTTTGGCCGTTACTCCAACTGCTGCCTCCAGTCTGGCTTCCACTGTTGCTCCAGCTGTCACCTCCACTGCTCTGGCTTCCACCGCTACCCCAGGTGTTTCCTTCACTGCTCTTGGAAGGCCACTTGTTACTGTTCCAGCCACTTCCCCAGCTGCGGGCAGCAATTCGTTCGATTTCTTTGATAGTTTCTCCCATACCAGGGTGGGCGGCAGCCTCTGGGATAGGAGCAGCAGCTAAAGCGGCCGCGATGAGGACGGTGAACTTCATGGTGTCGACGGATAAAGGCTATAGAAAATTATCGATGGATTATAAGTGAATGAATAGAATGTTGCAAAAGAGAGACTGTAGTGCCTGTTGGCTCGTAGGTGAAAAGAGTGTGATATTAGAAGAACGAATGTATAAGAGGACGACAAGAGGGAAGCACGTCTCGAGATGAGAGAATCAGCTCTTGATGGAACCCAAGATAGCAGTGGAAATTATCCTGTATATATACGCCAGAAGCTCGCTTATTGAGTTCACTGTCTGTTTGAGTTGCTCTGACCAGACGCCGAGAGCTCTCGGCATGCCAGTTCCAGACCCCCAGTCTTTGCATCTAGCCTTGCTCTTAGTTCTGTAACTATAAAACCTCCATCTAGAGACAATATGATAAAAGACGCTTAAATGACCCCTGCATCTCACCAGCGGGAGCGATTTGTGTCTAGAACTCCTAAGTATGGGGGCCCCTGTAGAGCAGACTGCGTTAGCACTATCAGTGCGTAGTAATAGCTCAACTACCACTCGATGTTGTAATTTCTTCCCGAAAAGTACAATACTTGCCTTTGTTCGTTTCTAGTTAGAGAAGAGGTCTTTCTGGCTTGAGCAAAGACGTTGTCATAGCGGGAATGTGGATCCCGGGTTGCGTGGAGAGCGTTGAGGCTTTGGCGCATGACGCCTCCTCCTATTAAAGAGCAAACTAGGGAGTCGTGTCGGCTGAAGTGGTTGATCATTCCTTGAATTGGAGTTCTAACTGCTGTCTAGATCTCTTGGTAACGGGATCAGAACGGTCGCCCTACAAGGGTTTAGAAAGGTAACGTCTGGTAGAACCAGCGAGGCTAACAATGCTGTGAACAAAGCAGACCAACGCTGTAGGGAGTCATGCTGAAATCGTACGATTTATGTGATATTCTGTCACTTCCATATTTATTGATGGCTTTGTGACGATACCACATTGCTCCTATTCGCCGAGTACTGTACGAATATAGTATCAGTCTCTCAGGGGGGGTCGTGCAGCGTGTAAGATGATACGCTCCCGAGTATCCACTTGGTGATCAACAACTGAAGACAGGTTCTGCCTCCTTTTGCTGACCCGAGAATGTCTTCGTCATGAGCTGTAGAAGCTTTCGGATGGAAATTGCATTGTCCCCATTGGATATACAGCGACAAGGCAGAGTAATATTGACTCCAGAGCATTCAAGGTAAGCGCCGAACGCCAAGTCTCGAATTGCGGTGGATCGAAGATCACGGAAATGATCCTTGTTCAGGTGGATACGGATCCGATAGAGTGGGAAGCTGTTGTTGCCAAGGTCATGGATTGAGCGGGAGAAGCAATGCCCAACAAGTGTTCACTGCCTCTTGTTTGACGTTTATGGCATTTCGTTTTTTTTTTGTTTCTGAGGATAGAAGGGAAAATGTCGAATATAAGGGGGAGATGAAGTGACTCGACGTTGTTTCTTGGTTCAGCCACATGATCACATGACCAGCCACCAAGAATTGGTTTGCAACTTCCATCTTATGCTTAATTACGACCCTTTCAACTCAACAATGCCTTAGTACCTCAGTAGGTAATGTGAATGAATGATTATTTTGCTTTCTAACTCTGCAGGCAATTCCAACTACAAAGTCCAGACTCATCACTACCAAACCCCATAGATTCTCCCAAATCACAAAAAGATCCAATCAATACGTCTCTAAAAGTAATAGACTAGCAAAGCCATTCAGAGCTCTACCCCTGGCACTAAAACGCAGTTGTGGCAACCCAACCAAAACGAGCGCTGCCTTGGTTGGAATAGCTCCTCCAGGTCCACCGACGGCCGGACATAAACGGTGACTGATCACTTCGCCCTGTGCAAGGACAGCTGAAAGATTTCTACGCGAAGTGGTACCGACGGATTATGAAACGAATAGATGCGCCTCTTGCATGGATACGTCTTGTACGCTGCCATCAGGGACCTTACTGATCTCCTCCACGATCCCGAACTATTCGTCAGAGCTTAGCGGGATCGTACTGAGTAACCGCGATTCGCGCATTGTCTGGTCAAACGTGGAAATAGAGCTGAAGAGCCACGGTCCTAAACATTCTTTCAAAGAGATCTGGTTGCTGTCGCGCCCCCAACTAATTAGGTGCATGTGGCCGATGATAACCACCATCTCGTTCAGCGCCGGATGGTCTCCCGTAACCAGACTGATGAAAGGCCTGAGGCGGAAGAAATGGGACACAAGATAACTTAGATTGGCTAGAGGTATTGTACAAATGTAGCGTTGTAGGGTGGGTAGCTTCTCCTTTAACACCGAGCCCAGCATCGTACCGTACATCTGCCAGAACAATCATGTTAGTAATAAGGCACGGATTCTCCAGAAATATCACTTACACAAATCTCATCGGCAGTAGAATACGAATGAAAAAACCGAGACTCGTCACATATTGACTCCCGAAATACCAGCGACTTGAGCTGTGAAAATCTTTCGGTAATATATTTTATTTCGTCATCATTTATTGATATAGGTATCGATCTCGATTGTGCGAATCTCATGGGCTGGTTAATGGAGAGGCTCTCAACGTGCGAAGAGAACCCTGGTGTTGCTATGGACTCAAAAGAACCAGGATTTGTGGCCTCTCCAAAGCATTTCATCAAGTATCGACTGTTGTCTCTGCACCTCAGCTCTAAATATCGGAGCTGGATACGAGATCCATAGCAGAGTTCATCGGCCAATGTCTTGATTCTGTCGGTAGAGAGAGCTCGAACGTCGAGTGACAGTGATTTGAGCGATGTCATCGCCTTGATGAAATCTGCAACACGATACATCGGTAGTAGCTCACCGGTATAGCAGGGCGGTCTGGTGTCACAGTCATTGAAGTTGATAGTCACCTCTCTACGAAGCAGGACCACTTTAGCATATATATATCCATAAACACAAGATAGATAGCTCACTTACTTGATGAGACCAAGTCGCTCGTAGTGCTCTCCAAGGTAGGGGATGAAAGTGTAGATATCGTTAGAGATTTCACATAGCGAGATGGAAAGTTTAACTCGAGACCATACAACACTGGTCAGATTCACTTGAAGTCGACGGCATGTTGCTGACAGGGATCTGCTGTCCCTGTTATCGGCCACGGCGCCGATAGCATAGATAAGTTCGTTGGGGAGATCCAAAAGATTTGGACCTGTAGACGTAGGATGTACGCGCATCTTAGCCAAAGCCCTCGGTTCCGTTGTCGAAGGCCTCTGATTTGAGCCAAATAGTGTATCCGCAATACACTGCTGTATTCCTCCGCCCAGTCTCCAGAAGGCAACCATTTTACCAGAAGCGAAGAAAGAGAAAGAAAATTGGTTAAGGCTAGATGTTGGAAGGAGGGGGATTATATGTAGTTTACGGGATTAAGGTTTTGGGAGAAAACGCTTGGGCTGCTCGAGCGCCCGCAGATTTCTGGCAAGGATGATGAATTTGTTGAAGTGAGAAGGTTCATCATATATGAAACCAACAGCAAAGAGCTATTCCTGTGTTTGCGGAAGCTGCAGAAGTAGTTGATGATATGATGCAAAGTGTAAGGAACTAGAGGTTGGCTGACTGATTGACGAAGCAGTCACTGTGTGCACAGTTACTACATCCTACGTGTCCATGATCTACAGAACTCACCTTGCTGTGCGAGATATTTACAGCGGTGAGGATTTTGACGTCCTGGGACAGCCTTGTGGTTGAAAACTTTGCTATAGTGGGAAGGTTTCAGCATCTTGAGCCTCTTCATTGGTGTTTAGAGCTTTGTTGATGGTGGTCTCGTCATCCTCAGGTGATAATTTGTTATATGTTTTACTGATATGGTCTTGGAAATGTCACAAAGAGGTCAATATTGACACATAAACACAGGGAAAATCACACGAAAGGTTGCAAACTTCACAATTGAGGGACAAGTATATAAATCAAGACAAATAGCATTGCTACGGATCCAGTTGAGCAGTTCGCCCTACTACCCCGGATATACATGAAACACCAATGATCCTAGACGCCTGCTTGCCAATTCATCCCAATACAGATTTTCCAGCGCCCTCAACCCCCTTTATGCACATCCCATTACCCTAGGGCCAGCTACGCTAACAGAACAGAACAGACCTCGCTAATCTAGATGAAGAGGCTGCGTACAATAATCCTCCAGAGTCAAAACAAGAAAGGGAAGGTACAAGTGTAGAGAGAAAATAGACAAATACAAAATTCCTGGCGTCGGGCCCGACGAGATGTAGCTTGAAAAGCGGGAAGCGGATATGAAGAAGAGAAGAAAACGAAAAAAAGCTTGTTGGCAAACATGTCCACGGAATTGGAAGTGTGAGAAGACACCTGGCTGAGCATTGTCATAGAGGCATTCAATCATGCGTCGAGGTTGTTGCAAGTAAAGGCTTTTGGTTATGCGACGCTCTGCTGTTGGGTTGGCTCACTCAAGGTCATCGCGAGATGCCCGCATCATCATGAAAAGCTTGTGTGAATCCATCAAAGTTCAAATGGCGCGATCGTGTTTTGACATCATTCGTAGATAAAAACATTTGGCAAGGTGCAATTGAGGAACTCAGTAGGCATCCTCATCAGTCCACTCGCTGCCAGAAATGATGCGGTTTCCATCCTGGTCGATCATTACCGGTGCAGCATAAGACCCCGTCGGTGGCACGCCGCGTATACGCTTAGATTGACTACTCATAGGACGGCCTTGATCAGGTGAGAACTGCTTGCTTCGAGTAGCTCTTAGCCTGGCATAGTAGGCATCGGACACATCAACTTCGGGCTCGCTGTTGTCATCATCATAGGTCTCCCAGTTCTCAGATCCCGAGATATTGGTAGAGGCCATTGATTCACCCGAGATGTGTCGCGCAGGGGGGGCAGCGGGACGGTAGCCTTGTGAGCGGATGGTTGCGTATGGATCTTGGAAGCTCTCTTCGCTGAAGCTTGGGTGACTGCTTAAATGAGAACTGTTGCTTGGGTAGCTGTACTGAGAGTGGTTGGAGTTGGATCGAGCTGTTGGTGGACGGTCGTCGTAAACATCCTCAGGCTCAACTGGACGGACAATGCTGCAAGCAAGGCCAGCCGATTTGTAGGGGCTCATAGGATGCTCAAACTCGGCCTGGGCCATTATGTCGCGCATCTTGGGAGGGGGCGCCCTCATCATAGATTGGCCCGGTCGGTAGTTATCAGCACATGACTCAGCCCGAGGGCGTTCAGGAGAGTTGTTGCCATACTTCATACTCGACAAGGGAACTCGCGCTGGGATTCGCGACGGGCTCCTTACAGGGCTGAGAGGAATGCTAGATGTGGATGCATGTGTTTGGTGTCCGGGACGCTTGGGAGGTCCAATAGTGGTAGGGGTTTTGGTCATGGATCGAGGAGGAACAGACTTGGTGTTGATACGGCTTGGTACCGACTTGGCTGGCTTAGCAGTCGAGGGTGGTGGGCCAGCAGGAGTCTTGGATCGCGGTGGCAGCGCGTTCTTCTTTGATTCTTCGGCAGCCTCAATCTCTTCCAGATAACACTCTCCAAAGACGAGGAATGGTCGTCCATATTCCTCTTCCCACTCGGAAAGAATATTGCGCAACTCGGCGGTAATCTTGGGCAGTTCCTTGGCAATTCGCTTTCGCATCTTCTCCTCACGAAGCAACTTGCCAGGATCTCGCTTCTCTCCCTTTTGACCACGGCCCATGAGTCTCGATGCGTCTTGACTTGAGGCAGTGAGATCATCACGTTCCTTAATCAGGGCCTTGTGTCTGTCGATCAAAGCCAATGTGGGGGCGCGCTGTTCCTTGAGAGCTTCAAGGCGGGCGACCTCACGCTCATGAGCCTCCAGGAGAGCATCACTGTACACATCGGAAAAGGCAGGGGTGAATTCGAGCATTTCATCTTCGCTGAAGTAGAGCGCATCCCAGAGCTCTTGAAGCTTGATGCGGGTGTCTTCGACGAAGAGGTGGAGGTTCTGACGTTTGAGCTCGTTCAAGCGGGCAAGCTCGTCTTCAAACTCGTTGATCTGTCGAACACCACAACCACGGTTCGCGTTAAGGAATGGCTTGGTCTCGCTCTCATCAACGCCGAGTTTGACCCAGAGGGCTTCAACGGCAGCCCTGAGTTGGTTAAGCTTCTTTTCCCTGTTCTTCTTCTCATCTGAGAGTCTGTCACGCTTGGCGCGGAGTCGGTTGATGTCTTCCTCATGCAGACCAAGTTGCTCGGGAGCATCGCGGTAGTACTTGACGATAGCAGCATCTTGCTGTGCTTGAGGGATACCAAGCTCAGCCCAGAGTCCAATCGTTTGGTCGGCAAGCGCCTGAACTGTGGCAATACGACGAGAATACTCTTCATAAACTCGTGTGAACTCACTGTCGAGCTTGTCAACATAAGTGGAAGAAAGGTCAAAGTTGGCAGGGATGGACTGGTTTGGGCCTGTAGGGGGTAATGGAATCTGGACGAAAGTAGGTTCAAGATGTGATGAGTAAGACTCAAGTGCCACTACGAGTTCTGTGTGGAGTCAGTATATAGGACGTTGAGACGTTGTGATATAGACGCACTCTTGACTTGTTCGTAACGCTCCTTGTGGATGCGACTGATCTGGGCGTGCTTCTCCTTTAGTTGTTGAAGGCATCGTGATAACGGATAGGTGATGGTGAGTTCGTCATCCTCGTTGGAACGACGTCGATTTTGGTCGTCGAGAGAGGCCTCCATCTGATGGATGATGGTGATGATCTTTTTTGCTTCGTCGATCATTTCTTTCTTTTCTGAGTTGACGAGTCGCACTTGGCTGTTGAGGGCCTCGGATAGTGCTGAGAATAGCTGCGCAAGTTAGTAACCCGTCAACATTCATGTCGCAAACCAAAGGCAACATACCTCGGACTCACGAGCTTCGCGCTCATGATCAGGAACACCGATCTCATCGAAGAGACCGTGAAGTTGGCCAATACTGTTGTTGACTTGCTGCGCAAGATAGCTTGTGTCCACCATCGTGTCCAAGTCGAGAAAGCCGTTACTGAAGAGGGGGCGGGGGATGATCGGATAACAATGCTAGAGACAAGCAAAGAAAGTAGGAAGAGTGCTAGCTTGTGGACGAATGCGCAAAGGAAAAAACGTATGCAGGGTGTATTTTGATAAGGCGTGGGCGTAAATCGTGGTCTCGGTAATATGCAGTCGGGTCTCTAGTGTGGGTGTTTACTTTCTCTCCCAGGCGGTCATTGAGCAGTGAAGTCGTCGAGGTGGAAATAGCATCATATGCGCAATGCGAAGCTGTAAATGGTAAATGCCATGCAACGCAAGCAAACTCGTGATGGGAAATGGTCTGGAGTTGAGGAGACGAAGAAAAAAAAGAATGAAAGACCAGACGTGAGTGCGGCTGGGACAAGACGAGAGAGTGAATGCAATGGAACTGATGGGCCTCAACTACAAAAGTATTCTTCACGAAGGAGCATCGGAGGATGTAAACGATGGGAAGCTGAGTTGCTAGAGCAACCTTTCCCCCAGGGTTTAATTGGCGGGCGTATTTGGAGAGGCCCAGTGTTTCAGTGCAATTACCCCGCTGTAGTTTGCTTTTGGCAGGGATGTCCCAGAGCTCTGAGGCCACTGAAGGCTTGGTCGGAGCGCTATTGATCAGCTGTTGTAACCGCGATCCAATTATTAAGGCTTATGATTGGCCTAAAGTGGGCATATCTTCACACCCTGGAATCGTCTCCCTTTCTATGGACAGCATTTGGCCCGTCCACAATGGACGAACCTGGAAAAAAGAAAGGGATTTCTTTTTGGTCTCACTTCCGCCTTTTCGCCTTGCGATTGAATGATGAATCAATTAATAAATTATTACGTGTAATCGAGTATTCGTTTAATTGTTAGGTAGGTATAGGTATATAGCTCAGCTAAGTATAGCAATATAGCTGGGCAATCCTCCGTGATCGATCAACAAAATAAGTTCCTTGTTTTTAACCCCGTCGCTTTCCCATCGCAAATCTAACCTGATTATTCATAGTTTGCCAGGTATAAGTTATAGTACAAGCATGAACCCGCAGCAATGATCCGAAAATGTGTAAGCAAGCAAGAGTGTTTGGCATCTCTGCTCCAGCTCCTTGCATACAGTAGGCTGAGTTGGCTGGCTGGATCGTCAGATTCGTTGACTTGCATGTGCAGAAGGGCTAGGATAAGCGAATCAAGACTCCGCAAGCGGTATCAAAACAAACCAGTCATCTCTTTATCACTGTAAGGGAGGAAGAAACTAAACCACTTAAGCTAAAGTTAATTAAATTGCTGAGCCGCAAGCAGACTTTTGTTTTTTGCTCTCCCCACTTTAGCG